TTTTATAAAACCATATCCTTATAAAGACAATGAAATAGCAAGAAAACAATTTTCTTCTAATAGAATAAATCTTATTCATAAAAACAAAGAAAGTAAGGGGAAAGGCACTGAAACTCTGAGGTATTAATTACTCTGTTTTTACATAGGGATAGGTACAGCAGTACAATTCTATGGTCCTTATATACACAAAGCTTCCGTTAACTTTTGATAAGTCTGCCTTCGTGAGAAACACAGAATTACTTTCTCATATATAATTTTTTTTATTAGTAAGAGGATCTCATAATGACACTTACACAGGCCCTACATTCCCATGCATGAGAATTCTCAGTGAAGTGACTTCACTTTTACTAAGGGAATGACTGAATTTTGTGCAGGATTCTCAATTCTTAATATATCAATAACATTAAAGAGTGCCCATTTTCACATGTACACCATAGAATACTATGCAGCCACAAAAAAGGATGAGTTCATGTCCTTTGCAGGGACATGGATGAAGCTGGAAACCATCATTCTCAGCAAACTAACACAGAAATAGAAAACCAAACACTGCATGTTCTCACTCATAAGTAGGAGATGAACAATGAGAACACATGGACACAGGGAGGGGAACATCACACACCAGGGCCCTATCGAGCGGTGGGGGGCTAGGGAGAGATAGCATTAGGAGAAATGCCTAATGTAGATGACTGGTTAACAGGTGCAGCAAACCACCATGGCACGTCTATACGTATGTAACAAACCTGCATGTTCTGCACATGTATCCCAGAACTTAAAGTACAATTAAAAAAAAAAGAGTGCCCATTTTATTTTCAATTGTTTAGATAAATGGGATTAAAGAAAATACAGTTATGCTAAAGGAATTTTCTACCACTCAGTTGCCAGTAGAGTTATGCATGAAGAATTCATATTAAGTCAAAAGAGAACAGAATATATTTGAAAGCAGAGTTGACTCCCTTGATTCGGTTTAACGAATGGAAATACTCAAGATTCAGGTCACTATGGACCCTTTTCCCTACTCAAAAAGAGACCCTCCCTATTAATAGCCATTAGAATGCTCCACATTTTTAAGTTTGCAACATCATGGCCTCATTGCAAATTGGATATTTAGGGAAAACTACATTTCCTTCCAAAGAAAATGTTTTTTAAATGCACAATTTCTCTATCATGCATTTTTTAAATAAGAAGAACAGAAAATCTAACTGTTTTGCAACTAGGCTCAGGCAACTGCCCAGGCAGCTTATAGAACTGATATCAACAGTTTTATGCCTGTCAGAAAATCATTCGAAAGACTTTTTTAATCTGAAAAATAACATCATCACTGTATATTCCACCCTGAAATCCAAAGGCAGGAATTACACTGTGTTGTTAAAATGTTAGCAAGTGCATTTCATTTTTTTAAAAGGCAATTTAGTTTTCCTGAAATAAAGAGCTGATTATATCTCTTATTACTGTTACAAGAATTTGATATATCGCAAAGTGAAAGAGTTACAGCATGTGTCAACTATCAACCAGGAAAAATGAACCTGATACATAATTCACTTTGAGAATGTCTAGTTAGTCAATCAAGTGATTTGTAATCATGAAGGCTGCCAGAAATTGAATGAAGAATGGGACACAGTAAAATTCTTAGTGTTTTTTTTTGTTTGTTTGTTTGTTTTTTAGTATTCTTATTTAATTATGTGGCTTTTATTGCCATTTTTGATCACTGTTTCTCAGCAGCACAAATTAAATCACACATACTTACTTAGAAGTTTTTGACTACTAAATAGACTAAGGATATACAAGTTGAATGACCAGAGTATAGAATGTCTTCCTACAAAATTAAAGGTTTTAGTGTTTACAGTTTGAACAAGGAAAATTTCATTCCTTCCAATCTCCTCCACCCTCTTCCCACTTCATTTGAATTACTTAGTATATATGCCACTCATTCTAACATGGTGTATTTCTATATATTCTAAAACAAGTGAAATCATTTAATAGAACCCAGTTAATATTAGAAACCTTAAGCTTCCTTTTAATATCCTCATTGTAATTCCTCAGTTAAAACTATAATATGACAGTCAAAGAACATTTAACTTCTAATTAATACAATCTCAGTAAATAGGCAAAATATAAAATCAACTTATAGCCTGATATATTACCAAAGGGGTAATGTGATAAATGAGTGTTTTTTGAAGTGTAAACTATTGAACCATGTAAGAATGTGCCATTCTGACAATACTGGCCATTATAAGCTTTTTCATCAGCACTGCATGACACAGAATTACACAGCTTTAAAGTAAATGAAACTTTAAATATGGTAACAAATGTGCTCCTCCTTTGATTTACTCTCCATAATTTTCAAGCAGAAGGGTCCTTTTCCAGCTTTAGACTGATCATAACACAAGATCTCCATAGAGAAAGTAACGGAGTTCTTAAACTCCATTATACTCATTACTGAAATTTAGTATTAATTTTTTTAATTCAGCTGTATAAATTTTGTGGGTAAATTTCCAATAATAAATGTTTGGTTTTTCAAAATAACAAAATTTCAGGCACACATTATACATTTACTCTAAGAAACTAGTATAATTATGGTGAGACCTTGGGAAAGATACTGTTTTCCACACTGAATATTCCCACGCTGAAAAGTGTAGCAGCACTCCACTTGGGAATTCACATTATCATCATTATCACACCAACTACTAGAATCACCTTTTCTTTCCTGTTTAACTTACTTATTCATTCATTCCACAAATGCTCATTAAGTAACTACTATTGCCAGGTATTATGCTAGAAACTGGGGACATGAAAATGAATTTAAAACATAGTCTTTGTACTTGCCCTTAAGAAATCTACAGTCTAGTAAGAAGAAGACATAAGTAAATAAGAACAATGAAATGTAGGCTCTAGAAGAGATCTATATCTTGGAAATTTCAGTGACAGAGGTCAGTAGTCAAGAAGGATTTCAAAGTGTTCACCAAGTTCAATCTTGAATGAAAGTTGGTACCTATCAGAGAGCAAAGAGGAAAGCCTATAATGGTAAGAAGGAGAATATGAACGAAGACAAAAGCGCAAAATAGCTTATCATGGTAGGATGAATACAAGCTAGTCAGTTTAACTGGGGTTTAACATGTAAGAAGTACATACGATGTTGGGTAGTAACGGAAAAGGCTGCCAGAAGCCTCTTTCAAAAACAATTCATATTGATGGTTAGGCTAGTCCAATCATGTGAGGTCATGTACTTGTAGGATAAGGATCCTCTTCCCTCATATCTAAAAGTAGTTTTGACTTCAGTGAGCATCAGTCCTACAAATTTTTGACCTTGGGATTTGTTTATACTGTAAAGAAGAAAAGTTGAAAGATAGTAACAATTACAAAAAAAAAAAAACAGGCAGGACACTAGCAAAGCAAGACTGTAAAGAAAATTTACTGTGACAACCTGACAATGGTGATAACTCAAGTGAAAGCAACTAGAATAAAGAGGGTCAAAGCAACATAAGTGACTGCAGCAAGTTACTTACGTATACTCACACATACATACACATACTTCATGATTATATAAGATTTGGTCAAATTATAAATGTAATTAGTACAGTAAAATGAAGTTATGATTACTAAATACTATTAAATGATATTAACCCTGAACTGCAGATAGCTATGTAGATATACTACTGACTCTTCTAATGATATTAAATATATAGAAGTCAAGCCCATCCTGGCTAACACAGTGAAACCCCGTTTCTACTAAAAACACAGAAAATTAGCCAGGTGTGCTGGTGGGCGCCTGTAGTCCCAGCTACTCAGGAGGCTGAGGCAAGAGAATGGTGTGAACCTAGGAGGCTGAGATTGTAGTGAGCCAAGATCACGCCACTGCACTCCAGCCTGGGCAACAGAGCGAGACTCTGTCTCAAAAAAAAAAAAAAAAAAAAAGTCAAGCACTATATCTCTGGAATAGCAAACTTGCAACAAGCATTAACAACAGCCACCCGTAGACCAACTAAATAACCTATTTGAAAATGGAAGAGAGGCCGGGTGCGGTGGCTCACACCTGCAATCCCAGCACTTTGGGAGGCTGAGGCAGGCGGATCATGAGGTCAGGAGATCAACACCATCCTGGCTAACACGGTGAAACCCTGTCTCTACTACAAGTACAAAAAATTAGTCAGGCATGGTGGTGGGTGCCTGTAGTCCCAGCTACTCAGGAGGCTGAGGCAGGAGAATGGTGTGAACCCAGGAGGCGGAGTTGCCGTGAGCCAGATCGCGCCACTGCACTCCAGCCTTGGTGACAGAGTGAGACTCGGTCTCAAAAAAAAAAAAAGAAACAGAAAAAAGAAAATGGAGAGAAATCTTTGCTGAAATTTCCTGGTATCAGTAACATACACTTTTTTTTTTTTTTTTTTTTATTTTTTTTTAAAGACACAGTCTTGCTCTGTCACCCAGGCTGGAGTGCAGTGGTGCGATCTCACCTCACTGCAGCTTCCGCCTCCCAGGTTCAAGCGATTCTCGTGCCTCAGCCTCCCAAGTGAAGTGTTTTTAGTACAGACAGGATTTCAACATGTTGGCCAGGCTGGTTTCAAACTCCTGGCCTCAAGTGATCTTCCCGCCTCGGCCTCCCAAAGTGCTGGGATTACAGGCATAAGCTACCGCACCTGGCCTAGTAATACAGTTTTAAAATAAGTATACAACATATGTGATCAATAGGACTCTTTTCTAGTATATGTACTCAAATAGGAGTCATGAATTATAAGTTAGCTGGCATGTGTTATAAGGAGTGAGAATGGAGATGACAGAAGTTAATCAAACAAATTTTAAGTATATTCATAGATAACAAATTATAACTTGCATTATTTTCCACTGTTGTGTTGATTTCTTTGTTGTCTTTTTGGCTCAAGTAATGAAGCATCATGGTTCAAGATCCCAATAACGTCTCATAAAACAAAGTTTAAGACAAATTGTTGTTTGGTAACACTGCAAAGATAAAACATGATCTTTCACGTATGAAGATGACACTGACTCACCATCAATAGAGATGAGCTGCAAGTTGTTGTTCCATAGTGGAGATGGGCTTGCTGATCTAGCCAATTCTCTTGCCAAAGCTCCCAGTGAATGGCAGCTTACATCTGTAAGATGATTGTTACCAGTGGTCACAGAAAATAACAAAATAAAATGATCTATACAGAAATAAAACCTATGTTTTTGGTCCCAAACTACCATATTCTGATAAACTTTTAAAAAGTCACAGAAATGTATAAATACTGTATGATTCTTTCATTAAAAATTATACATGTAGTTACTCTGATCAATTCATGGTATTGTATATATTACTTACATAAATACACAAATGATGAAAGCCTGATCCCCTACCTAAGAATGTTCTCAGCTATCTTAACTAAAACAAAGATTGTTTCTGACTTGCAAAATCAGAAGTGTATAATGATGATGCTCAAAACATGAAAGCATGCCAACTTACATCCCTCATCACCAGTAGCAATAACTGAGGAAATTACAGAATATTTTTGTTAATTTTAGAAATATTCTCTATAGCATTAAATGTAATACGACTACAGCCAAAATTACTTTGACATTTCTTAGAATTCTGAAAAATACTTCCATTTTTTATGAAGAAAAAATACTTTAGTTACTAGCTATAGTGTTCATTCTTGTTAATACAGAGGTTTTACAATAAAATAGTTCTACTGACTCCTGATATGGAATTTTATCAGTTTCTAGTTGAATCTCCTTCATAAAATTGAGAAGCTGATAAAATATTACTGGAAGACATTGTTTGTAAGTAAAATTAATGTTACATGCTTCTTTATTATTTGAAAGAATAAGAAATTAGATTAACAACTTAAAAATTAATAAGAAGCCATTAAAACTAGATACAAGTCAAACAAAATCACAATGCTAAGTGCCTATGATGAGCAAGGCAGTATTTAGAGGTTCTGTGAACAATTATAAAAATAACAAGGCATAGAACATAACCTCAAAGAAATAACAATTTAGATATTATTGAAACATTCTTCTTTCAGTTCTCCATAGGTTGTTTACAAAAACAACAGCTAGATTCTAACCCAGATCCTCTGTTAGGACAGGAAGGATGATGCAGAAAAGTACAGCATCACCTACCACGGCATGGTAGCTACCATAAGGATGCGGCTCTGGAGCTCCTCTCACATACGGAAATAAGGAAATTTTAATAGAGATATTGAGAACATCTGCTGCAACCTGTGATGCAAGCCCACTGCCACCTGCAAACAAATAAAATTCATTAATTTTAAGATACCATATAAACATTTCCAGTCACAATTCTGTTTTAATGGGTCATGAAGCAAGTATATTCTCAACAACTTTCCATTATCATACCCCACCGATTCACCAAAATTGGATGTCTTCCACTAGATTGCAAACTCCTAAAGTTCCTCTTCATTTTGGTTTCCAATTTCTACAATGCCTAGCAGCACAAATAACTCAGTCTAGTAAGAAATTAAGATTAAAACCGGCTACTAAAATACTCTGTAACCAGTTCTATAATAAGTTTTATAGAAAGTACTACAGACACTAAAATGAAGGAAAAACTGGCTTTAAAGAATGAGTAGCTGCTGAACAGAGAGACAAGCAGAGAGAAAGCATTCTTAGTGGGAGAAAGAGGTAAAAAGTTAGGGAGGTACAAAAGGGCACACAACATTCTGAGAATTTCAAGTATTTTTTTGGGAAAGCAGCAAATAAGAAGACAAAGGCATGAGAAAGATAACGGAGATGACTTATATGCTAAAAAGCTGAACCTGTATCCTGACTAAAGAAGTGAAGACAGGAAAGTGAAGTGATCATGAAAAAGATCTTGACAGCCATATGAAAGATGGGAGGAAGAACATGACTGAAGGCAATGGACTAAATCACACAAGACAAAGCTAGCTTGACCTAATGGTATATGGAGTTATGGTGACCCAACTCACCACCAATGACCATTAGGTCTTTTACCCACTAAGTCGCAAATCCAGGTACATATTTAGACAATACTACAGACACTGAGTTATTTTAGAAAACTGTTTATGTAATATAATCTCAATGAAAAAAATGGCAGGAATTCGACACAGGAATATCAACGTGAAAATATTAATAATGAGTAGTAGGATTAGAGGTCATGTTTTTCTTGTCATATATTCCAAATGTTCTACATAATAAAATTAAAAATAAATTCTACAACAATTTCTTGAAGCTGTGATAGCTAAAACTTGCATTAACCCTAAAGAGCCTCACCCAGGATCACTTGACAATATAATTGGGCCCAAAGCCTTCTTCACCACCACAGCTCACTATGCCTAAAATATTTATTCCTACATCAGGACTTTACCCCATGTTCTTTCTGCTTCTGTAGCAGCCTCTGGCCCCGAATGCCCATCTAAATCTCAACTTCATCATACCACCAGTTATAATCTCATACATGCATTACCTGCTCCATACATTTTCACATCCAATCATATGTAATTTATTGAAAACCATCTTCAGTAGTTCTCCTGTTTGTTCTTACTATAGTTTTTATATAAGAACAGACTAGTGCAAGTCAGTCCTATTCCAAAGCAAATATTCATACATGACTCATTTATGGACATATGCACATATAATTATTCCAATGTTTTGATAAACAAACTTATGTATATAACCACTACTAAAGAGTTTTCAAATCTATCTTCAGAAAAGTTGCCTACTGTTATGAGTTGAATTGTTTCCCCCCAAAATATGTTGTAGCCTTAACCTCCAACTCCTGTGAATGTGACGTTATTTGGAGATAGGATCTTTGCAAATAATCAAGTTAAGACAAAATCATTAGGGTGGGCCCTAATCCAATGTGACTGGTATCCTTATAAAGAGGTACATTTGGACACAAAGACAGACATGCACACAGGAAGAACTCCATGTGAAGGCAGAGATCAAGGTGATAGATCTATAAGCCAAGGAATGTCAAAGATTGCCAGCAAACCACCAGCAGCTAGGAAAGAAGCATGGAACAGATTCTCCCTCATACCCCTTAGAAACAATCAACACCTTGATCTCAGACTTCTATCCTCCAGAATTGAGAGACAACAGATTTCTGTTGAGTCAGCCACCCAGTTTGTGGTATTTTGTTATAGCCTCCATAGCAAAATAACACAACTACTAAGGGAAACCATGATTTCTTTCGCTGAAAGTCACTAAAAACAAAAACATTTGTAAGATTACAAATCAAAAAAATATCTTGCTATTCATTTCTCACTCTGGTAGCAAATGTGCTATTTAATAGCTAAGCCAATCTAGTGCCAAAATCTTCTAAGAATAAACATGATTCATCCTTCATCCTATATAGTATCATTTACACAGACAGCATCACATAATCAAACATTAGAGAATGTAATCATTCTATAGATATTAGGATAAGAGAGTAAAATGAAGTTATATAAATTTTTCTTGGTAATGGGTAGAGTTGCTTTGTGAATTTTCATGCTGTGAAAATGTGATCTGACCCATAATACAACCAAAACATAGTATAATGAGTTACTTGATGAGCAATAATCTTGGTACAGACTAGGAATGGGCTCCGAAGTAACACATACTTAAATTCAAATCCTTGCTCTGTTACTCACTAGTTACAGGCATATCTTGAAGATACTGCAAGTTTAATTCCAGATCACAGCAATAAGGCAAATATTGCACAAAGCAAGTCACACAAATTTTGTTTCCCAGTGCACATAAAAGTTATGTCTACACTATAATGCAGTCTATCAAATATGTAATTACATTATGTCTAAAAAACTATGTACACACCTTAATTTAAAAACATTGCTTAAAAAAATGTGAACGATCATCTGAGCCTTCAGTGAGATGTAATCTTTTTGCTGGTGGAGGGTCTTGCCTTGAAGTTGATGACTGCTGACTGATCAAGGTGGTGATTGCTGAAGTTCGGGTAGCTGTGGCAATTTCTTAAAACAAGACAACAATAAAGTTTGCCCTACTGATTGACTCTTCCTTTAATGAAAGATTTCTCTGTGGCATGCAATGCTGTTTGATAGCATTTTACCCACAGTACAGCTTCTTTCAAAACTGGAGTCAATCCCTTCAAACCCTGCTGTTGCTTTATCAACTAAGTTTATATAATGTTCCAAAACTGTTATTACTTCAACAGTGTTCACAGCATCTTTACCAGGAGTACATTCCATCTCAAGAAACCAGTTTTGTTTTTTTTTTTTTTTTTGCTCATCCATAAGAAACAACTCATCCGTTCAAGTTTAATCATGTAATTACAGCAATTCGGTCACATCTTCAGGCCCCACGTCTAATTATAGTTCTCGCTATTTCTACCACATCTGCAGTTACTTCCTCCTCCAAAGTCCTGAACCCCTCAAAGTCATCCATGAGTGTTGGAATCAACTTCTTCCAATATCTTGTCCATGTTGATATTCTGAGATCCTCCCATGGATCACAAATGTTCTTAATGGCAGCTAGAAGGATGAATCTTTTCTAGAAGACTTCCAATTGATTTTGCCCAGATGCATCAGAGGAATCACTACGTATGGCAGCTATAGCCTTATAAAATGTATTTCTTTTTTTTTTTTCTGAGATGGAGTCTTGCTCTGTCGCCCAGGTTGGAGTACAGTGGCACGATCTCGGCTCACTGCAACTTCCACCCCCCGGGTTCAAGCAATTCTCCTGCCTCAGCCTCCCTAGTAACTGGGATTACAGGCATCTGCCACCACGCCCAGCTAATGTTTTGTATTTTTAGTACAGACAGGGTTTCACCATGTGGGCCAGGCTGGTCTCGAACTCCTGACCTCAGGTGATCCAACTGCCTTGGTCTCCCAAGGTGCTGGGATTACAGGCATGAGCCACCACTCCTAGACTCAAAATGTATTTCTTAATTAATAAAACTTGAAAGTTGAAATTACTCCTTGATCTATGGGCTATAGAATACATGTTGTATTAGCAGACATGAAAACAATATGAATCTCCTTGTATATCTCCATCAGAGCTCTTGGGTGGCCAGGTGCATTGTCAAGGAGCTGTAATAGTTTGAAAGGAATCTTTTTTTTCTAAGCAGCAAGTCTAAAACAGTGGGTTTAAAATATTCAATAAACCATGTGATAAACACATGTGCTGTCGTCCTGACTTTGTTGCTCTGTTTAAACAGCAAAGGCATGGAAGATTCAGCATAATTCTTAAAGGCCCTAGGATTTTTGGAATGGCAAATGAGCATTGGCTTCAACTTAAAGTCACCAGCTGGTTTAGCCTCTAACAAGAGTCAGTCTATCCTTTGAGGCTTTGAAATCAGGCATTGGACTTCTCTGCTCTAGCTACGAAAGTCCTAGATACCATCTTCTTCCAATAGAAGGCCATTTCATCTACACTGAACATATGTTGCTTGGTGTAGCCACTTTTGTCAATCATCTTAGCTAGATCTTCTGGGTAACTTGCTATAGCTTCTACAGCAACACTTGCTGCTTCACCTTATACTTTTATGTTCTGGAGACTGCTTCTTTCCTTAGGCCTCATGAACCAACTTCTGCTAGCTTCAGTCATTTTCTCTGTAACTTCCTCAGCCTTCACAGAATTGAAGAGAGTTAGGGCTTTGTTCTAGATTAGGCTTTCACCTAATACTGTGGCTGATTTGATCTTCTATCCAGACCACTCACACTTTCTCTACAATAAGACTGTTTTACTTTTTTATTGTTTGTGTTTTCCTTGGAATAACACTTTTAATTTCCTTCAAAAACTTCTTTTGCTTCCACAACTTGGATGTTTGACACAAGAGGCCTAGCTTTTCGCCTATCTTCACTTTTGACATGCCTTCCTCACTAAGCTAAATCATTTCTAAAAGCTTTTGACTTAAAGTAAAGGAGGTATGACTCTTCCTTTCACTTGAACACTTGAAGCCCATTTTAGCGTTATTAATTGGCACACTTTCAATCTTGCTGTGTCTCAGGGAATAGGGTGGCCCAAGGAGAGAAAGAGGAATAGCTGATCAGTGGAGCAATCAGAATACACACATTTATCAATTAGCTTTGCTGTCTTCAATGGGCTCAATTTGTGGCACCTCAAAATAATTATATTAGTAACATCAAAGATCACAGATCACTCTAACATATACTCTAACAATGAAAAAGTTTGAAATAGTGTGAGATTTGCAAATTATGACACAGAGACACTAAGCGACACATACTGTTGAGAAAATGGCACCAAAACATATACTCTATACAGGGTTACCACAAACCTTCAATTTGTAAAAAACATAGTATCTGTGAAGCACAATAAAATGTAACACAATAAAACAAAATATGCCTGTATTATGACTTGAGCAAATTATTTAACCATGTTTGAGCCCCAAACTCTTCATCAATAAAATGGTAGTTTTACATTTTATAAAAACTGAAGAAATTAGATGATATATGAAATGTGCTTAACATATAATATTATTAATAATAATAATAGGGCTTTACTATTTTTATTAAAAGGAATGTTTATAAATTAAGGATTTTTTTACACTTCTCTTGGGTAGGAAAAATAATTAAGCAAGCTCATGTAAGAATAAACATCTTGATCACGTATACTGTACACTAAATATTGCCTTTGGCTAGTTCCTGACTATAAAGGACTTTCCGAATTTTAAAACTATTTGTCAAAACTCAAAACACATTCAAAACCTAATCTTGGAACTAAAATACAAACAGGATCTCAGTGACTTTTGACTTTGCCGTTGACATCAGTTGGTATGCAGTTTTCAAAGATCCACAACACCACTCCTTTATTCCCTCAAATCTGTAAGCTTTAGCCAGTCCAGAAAATTTACCTTTACAATTTAGAGTCATATCAATTTAACTCAAATAGGATGGTATAATCTACTGAACCTTCTACCAGGAATTAGCGATGTGTTTGCTTATCTCTTCTAAATACAAATCTTGTAAAATATACATCTCAAAAATCAGCTAATTGAAGAAAATACACATTTTGAATTCACATACTTATTTTGAGAAATATTTAAATAATGCAAAACCTAACAAATCACCAAATTCAAAAGGACCTTGTTATACCATGCAAACAATCTCCACAAGATACAAATTATATTCCCATATGAATTTCAATATCTGTAAACTGAAATTTGCTCCTATATCTACATATAAAGAAGTAGAACAAATTGCACAATTAAGTCCAGAAAGACTCCAATTATTATGGAAAGAATAGTGGTATTTTTGTCAACCTCTTTGTCTAAAAGAGCTATCTGATGGCCAGGCGTGGTGGCTCACGCCTGTAATCCCAGCACTTTGGGACGACGAGGCAGGCGGATCACCTGAGATAGGGAGTTCGAGACCAGCCTGACTAACATAGAGAAACCTCATCTCTACTAAAAATACAAAATTAGCCGGGCATGCTGGCTCATGCCTGTAATTCCAGCTATTAGGGAGGCTGAGAGAGGAGAACGGCTCGAACCTGGGAGGCGGAGGTTGCGGTGAGTTGAGATCGCGCCATTGCACTCCAGCCTGGGCAACAAGAACAAAACTCCATCTCAAAAAAAAAGAGAGAGCTATCTGCACTGGTCAAACTTGTTGGAAAACATATCAACAAACCACTTCTCCTAGTTAGAGAGATAATTATTCTTAGCATCTTTTTAAAAACGTTAAGGAGCTATAAAAACATGTTCAATACTATAATAAGTTCAACAATATTAGCATCAGCATCAAAGCTAATGTACGGTCAAGACCAAACATAGGTTTGTTTTTGTTTTTTAATATTTATGAAAACAGGCCAGGTGCAGTGGCTCACGCCTGTAATTCCAGCACTTTGGGATGCCAAAGCGGGAGGTTCACTTGAGCCCAGGAGTTCCAAGACCAGTTCACGCAATAAAGTCAGACCCCGTCTCTACAAAAAATTTAAAAATTAACTGGGCATGATGGCACATGCCTGTGGTCCCAGCTCCATATGAGACTGAGGCGGAAGGATCACTTGAGCCCAAGTGGTCAAGGCTGCAGTGAGCTGTGTTCACACCACTGCACTCCAGCCTAGGCAACAGAGACCCTGTCTCAAAACAAAACAAACAAACAAAAAAAAATTTATAAATATATATGTGCATAGATACACATATATACAAATTTATAAATATATTTATACACATATATATTTATGAAAACATGTTTTGCCTTTATTCTTAGTGTAGTTCCTAACTTTAAAACAGACTTTGTTAGTTGAGTTTTCGAAATATGAATGTGCTTTTTGCTCAATTAAACAACATAAACGTCACTTTTCAGAAAACAATGTTATTTGCAAGAAGATAACTAAATTGACACATTTAATTTAAACAAAATATTTTGAAGTATTAAGAAAAACTCTAAGACTTTTTTTTTAAGTACTGATTTAAAGTTAGCAAATATGGCTGGGTGTTATAGCTCACACCTGTAATCCTAGCACTTTGGGAGGCCAAGGTGGGAGAATCACTTCTGGCCAGGAGTATAAGGCAACATAATGAAACCCGTCTCTACAAAAAAAAATAAAATAAAATAAAATAAAATAAAATAAAATAATAAGATAAAGTTAGCAAATGCTATATTCTATTTATTCAAGATACATACTAAATAATACTATAATTTGGGCTGTCCCCAAATTACAATTCCTATCTCCCAAGCTTCCCAGGCTAGAGTGCAGTGGAGCAAACTCAGCTCACTGCAGCCTTGACCTCGCCAGCTCAAGTGATCCTCCCACCTCAGCCTCCCAAGGAGATGAGTTCACAGGCAGTGCCACCACACTGGGCTAATTATTGTGTGGTTTTTTTGTTTTGTTTTGTTTTGTTTTGTTTTTTGTAGAGACAGGGTTTCAACATGTTGTCCAGGCTGGTCTCAAACTCCTGAGCTCAAGCATCCGTCCACCTCAGCCTCCCAAAGTGCTGGGATTACAGGCATGAGCCACCACACCTGGCCTCAATTCCAAGCATTTTTTCAAAAAGTGAACAGCAAGGAAAAATTAAATATATTTTATTTTTATCTTAAAGTACCAATATAGTAATATTAATAAAAATCACATGAATACATTATACTAAGAAAATATAATCTGTTAAATTATTGGCAAAAAATCATATCAATTATTATGGATAGTAATTGGGGCAGGGAGTATGCCTTTATCTACTCCACATGCCTTAAGCATGATAAAAACTCAATAAATATGTGTTGAATATCTATACTTCGAGAACAATAAGCACAATGGTCACATAATTCTCCTGAGAATCAAATATGGAAAAATCCTAAAGAACTGGGAATTCAAAACAGGATATGAACAAATTTTTACATTATGCAAATCTAACATTGGTAAGAGAAAATTCTACCCCTTGTATCCACAAATTGTAAGTCACAGCTACAAATTATGTATTGACTGTGTCAATGAAAAATATATAGCCAATGCTGGTTTTGAAATAATCTCAACTTGGTCTAAAGTGAAGTCATTAAGAACTGAGTAGAAACGGTGCATATATTTAAGCTCCTATAATCCTGGGATTATATATGGCCAAGAAAGAAAATGTACCACATTCTGTATTATTTCTGTGAACACCACACCACATCTCTATGGAGAGCTATAATAAATAAGAAAGTGAGGTAACATATATGAACTGCACGATGACTATATATTCTTGTGTTTCACTAGGGTCTCTGGTTTTAGCATTGCTGGTTTAGTGGTTAAGTCTCAATATTCTTACCACCATCATCCTGGTTCATATTGTGGTCACGGAGAAAACAGGCTTATCATGGGCTAGTTTCATTTATCCACACCTTTTCTCTTGACTTTCATCTACCTGTTGGAGAAACACAGGGAAATTTAATCAGTGTAGAAAATTCCTTATATTACAGATATTTGCCAGAAATTTCTATTAGACAAAGAGTTGCCTTTTGAAATATTTTCACACACACCCCAAATAAGCTTTCCCAGACAGAAATGAAAAAAAAATACATTTAGTAAGTGTGAGCAAATAAAGCAATGCTTAAATAAAAGGTGTACTGAATACTGGTATCTCAATTACATTACATCTTTCTTCCCCAACTTAATATACTAGGGAAATTTTCCTATTAGAAGCTGTTGAACATGTAAGATAATTTGACCTAAAATACAGACAAATAAATGTGTCACCTGGTTTGCTTTTTAAAACACAACTACCAGGTCGGGTGCGGTGGCTCACGCCTATAATCCCAGCACTCAGGGAGGCCGATGTGGGCGGATCACGAAGTCAGGAGTTTTGAGACTAGCCTGGCTAACACGGTGAAACCCTGTCTCTACTAAAAAATACAAAAAATTAGCCGGCTGTACTGGCCAGGCGTAGTGGCGGGCGCCTGTAGTCCCAGCTACTCAGGAGGCTGAGGCAGGAGAAAGGCATGAACTCGGGAAGTGGAGCTTGCAGTGAGCGGAGATCACCCCACTGTACTCCAGCCTGGGCGACAGCGAGACTCTATCTCAGGAAAAAAAAAAAAAACCTACCTTGAGAATATTTATAGCACAAACAAAGCTACTATTAGCAGCCTCATCCACCCTAAAGAGAATGGTTACTATTATAAGTCCCCAAGTATGCATTTGTAGAAGGAAGCAGTAGTTTATTAAACCAACTTTTTGATCTTGAAGCAACAGATTTGGGAAAAGATGGTTTTACAATAAAATATATAACTCCAACCTCCAGTTACATTGCTATTTTTTCATAGGACAGACATGGCACTGTGTGAATATTATGACTCAAGCTTAGTCATCTCAACTACAAGTGAATTAAATTTGTTAGAGTAAAAACCTGAAAGGGAAAGTACATGCATGTAATTCTAAGTTGCTATTTTTAGAATGGGGTTTTTCTCCAAAGAGATTTTAAAAATGTATTTCCACATTATTTGTGCTATTTTCACTTTAGTACTCTGGTATACTGGCTACTAAATAGAAACAAGAAACAAACCCATTTTCCAGTAGAAGGTCATTTATCATTTGAACACAGTATAAACTACATAAAAAAGGAAAAGTAATTTATTAAAGACCTGCTTGCTAAAACATAGAATTTTAGAGACATATACATGTAAAAAGACACTTGTGTTTATGCCCCTCTTATTTTCCTGGTATTATCAAAAAATTAACTGTAGAGTAAGAAGCCTAGTGAAAACCTCATTATATCTAAACTACTTTATTATATTTATTACATTGTATCTAAATGACTTTCCAGGAAAGTCCAGAAAACACAGAAGAGATTCACAGGCACTGCAGGACACACAGTATGCTAACCCTATAAGTAGCTTCCAGGCTGATAGGGCTTCAGTGGTTTTTCCCTACAGAAAAGATAGTCTGAGGAAAAAAAATCTCTGTTTCTCTATTCTCTCTCCCCACTCCTTAAGAATAATCAGAAAAAAAATGACAGGCAATGCAGAGTGAGGAAAAGACTACCTGAATGCAAGTCAGGAAAACTGAGTTTTATTCCCCACCTGTGACTTATTATACAGTCTTAGGCAAGTTACTTAGCCTTTCTTGGCCTCTGTCTTTTGTTTCATTTTGTTTCATATGGAACACAAGCAGCACTGAAAAAAACATTTTAATTACACCGAGAAAGAGAGCAGAGACCATAGAGACCTACCCCCAACTTCACAGGTGAGGACACTGAAACAGAGAAACATGCCCAGCCATAAGTGATTAGATTAAAACAGTTCTAACAACAGTCACAGGTCCAACATTTTAAAAATTACTTATTTAAAAAGACAAGTTATTTACGTCAAATTTTTAGAACATGTAAAAAAAGTAAGTAGCAAAAAGGATAACTGCCAAATTTAGGGTAATTATCTCTTCAAGAAGCCATAAAGAAATAGATTCTGGAAGACTTCAATTGTACTGGTAATATTTTATTTCTTGAACTGGGTTTGGTGTACATGGATGCTTATTTTTCTTCATATAGCATTTTGTATGAAATACTTTCTAATCTTTTTTTATGTAACCACCAAAACATCTTTAATCAAAAGCTAAAATAAATGAAAACATTTCTCTGGAACTTTAAAGGTCAATGAAAATAGTTGAGTATGGTTTCAAATGTTCTGCTGAGTTTAAAAGGTAAATATCACTATGTCCCCCAATATAAGAGAAAAATGTGTAATGTACTAAAAATATATATACAACTATTTCTAATCTAACTTAGTAAAATATAAAAGTACTACACAAATAGCACAAAACACAAAATAAATTCTATTACTAATAGCATGATAAACCCGTTTAAGTATATTGAGAGACATACTTAACAATTTGTACTTTAAACATACTCAAGAGTCACATCTAGCAGCCTAGTGTTTCATCGTCAGATTGGCTAGCTGTTTTTATTGAAACAAATCAGAACTGCAAAAATTTACCTAAAGTAAGCAAAGGCCTATCTAAATATCTACATAGAACCATGCCTCCAAAATATCTGAAATTTTCCAACAAGAAAGTACAGGTCATTCAGCAAAATATATTTACTGTATACTACCATAATAGCTATTTAATTGTTATCATTATGATGCATATATATAATGGAAACAGATGTTCCTTTTTCCTTTCAGCAAAGCAAAGGAAAAGCATAAACTTGCTGATATTGCATAGACTACTACCATAGCACAATAGAGGAAAAAAAGACATTAGCACATGACAATATTAGTTTTTACTACACAACTAATTGCATAAAAAGTATAACTTGAGGTCATTGAATCAATATAATTTTCAGCACTACAGAAGAGAAACAAATAGATTTGTATAAGCAACCTATTTCACATCTGCAGTTGGGAAAATACTTCTGACAGATTAAATAAATGCAAAACATTACCACTGCTTTTAGAACACAAGGAAAAGAGTGTTGTTCTGTTTTCTTTGCTCATGTAACATGAATTAGAATGCTGCCACTACAGAGGAATTTTTTTTAAGTAACAGTATAAATGCGTAGAACCTTTCTGGAAAACAATTGGGCAATCAATATCAAGAACCTTAAAAAATAGTCTATATTCTCAGTCTAAGTAATTTCTCTTTTAATAACATATTATAAGGAAATAACCTTAGGGATGGCTAAAGATTTATTTAAAATGCTATTCATTACAACTTACTTTATACTAATGGAAAATTAAAAATCTGAGTTGTCTAATAGAGCAATAATTAAAGTAGATATGTTAAAACATTATAGAGTCAATATAAACAACTTTAATAATTTTAATCGTATTACATTACATGCTTAGAGGAATAAGGTTTAGAGAAGACACACAAAATGGCATTTCTAATTTTTATAAATTCTGTCTTATGGGCATATACTACTACTTTTGTCAGAAAAAGTTATTTTTTCTTTAAACAGTTCTATTTCTGTGATCTGATATTCTCAGTCCAAAGTTTCTAAAATTCTTTGGGCAAAAGAGTCCTATAAATTTTACAGGTAAATTGACTTAAAGTTATGTTGACATGTTATGTTACTTGATCCTGAAATCTGGCACAGAAAGAGAAGTATTTGTCAATCACATAGACAACATCTTTTTTTTTTTTTTTTTCTGAGTTAAACAGAATCCTTACAAATTAGGCAAAATTTTTATGGAACAAACATTACAAACGCTTCCTTAAGATCTACTAATATGTAGTATGTTGCTAATTCAAGGAAACTTTCAATTAAAAATATTTCTAAAGCAAATGAAGTAGCCTATTAATTGCTGTTTCCGTATGCCAGTAAAAAAGTTTGCCATAGCTTTCCTAAGACTCTTAGTTTCCTGATTTTATTTTTACAAGAAGCAGCTGATTTGTCTTACGCTATTACTGTCTATTACTTCTAGAAGTCTTGAGCAAAGGTGGGAAGCAGCAAATTCTGGCAATCTGCCTAAAGAGAAATCAATGAAACAAATTAATCCTTTGCAGGCTGCAATGACACAGTAATCCATCATTCAGAGCTGCTTTTATACACCAAATCAGAGAGCAGAGGAAAAGAGCCCTGGGGGATATCACAGGCAACAACTTACACCAACACTGGGAAAATACTGAGGAATCAGTTTATTTAAAGAGGATAGATTTCAGTTGATTGCCTATTTCGTCAAATAAAGATTTTTCTTCCACAGTGTGGTGAACCCAAGGGCCAATGACTGTATCTTCAGAATTCCGTACCATCTATGCTGGCTGACATCAATAGGAGATGAATGTTTTTAAATAATTAGCATCGTTAATCAGTATGGTAAAATATATGGGTAAAATAAATATTACTTTGTTGATCCAACTACAAAGTGTTATACGGGGTCCTTGTTTTCACCAGAAACTAAGTGTAAATTTACCCACTAATCTACAACTTAACGAATTCCTGATAAACCATATTTGAGGTACTTCTTCATACATAAAATGTAACCATTTAAGATATATGTTACTTCCTAATGCTGTGTTAAGTTTAAAGACTTAAAATTTTTAATTCAAGCTCTTGTGTAAATTCCAGCAAGCAAGTCAGATTATAAATAAATGACTTATTTTAAAATGATAAATAATTATTTTGTTCATAATGTAGTTGACAGTGTTGGAAGATAAATGTGGTTTTCTTTTACAAATAAACTTATAATAAATGTACAGCAGTATATTTAAACTGACTATATTTATTTACACTTATACAAAAGCCTATGTATTTAAATTTATTTGTGCTTCTGTACAAAGTTACGCACCTTACCTAACCATGTCTTACTAGAGTAATGTATTCTAAGTAGAAGTATGTATCCTTGACGAAAACTAATGGCAAGAACTACAAAGTCACAGTGCATTACTACTGTAAATGCATGCATCATATTCCTGGTTAAATGTGAGAAGTTAGTAAAAGAAAAGAATTTTCAAGATTATAAACCAAAGAAAACTTGACACAACAGTCCCTGAAATGTTAAAACTCCAGAATACCTAGTCACAGATTCAAAACAGAAAAAGAAGATTAAATAAATGCTAACTAGTCAATTTTTGAGTGGCATGTTTGATTCTGAGGTCCGTGGTCGTATGATCACAATTCCTGGCCATGCTGATGCATTTTTAATTCAACGCTTGGATCTAGTATTTATTGATTTAATAAGGTTAGAAGAATTACATTGTTGCTGCTACTGATGAACTGTCAGTAATTTAATCTAGTGAAATCTTACAGAGAAATGTTTATTTTAGGGGAGAACAAGAGAGGAACAATAGCGATGTAAATAAATTTAATTCCTTACTACTCTTGACAGTGACAAGAGCAAAACCCTACTTTTCTAGACTCCTTTGGGCTCCAAATATTTTCTTTGATTAAAGATGTACCAGCTGATTGAGCTTATGGTGAAAAGGTTGCAGGACAGCTTTGTAGGTACACCTTAAAAATTAGGAAAAGCAATGACTGTCTCCCGGTATCCACTCTGGCCTCTCCTCATAGGTTTGAGGTACACACACACCCACACACTCAACCCTTAACTTGTCACCTAACAAGGTTTCAACGAGCCTGTCAATGATTTCCTCTCTCTGGACCCTAAAATTTCCTACAGCATCATTAGTACACAGGAAGACAGAAGGGAGAAAATAGAAAATCAACTTTCTTAAAAGCAATTCAGCCAAGAGAGGCTTTAAGGGCTATGTCAAAGTAAGGAGGTGTTACAAGATCCAGAATCAGAAAGGGGGTTTAAAAAATCCACAAAAGTTGCTGAAACAAACACTTGGGGACTATTAGAAAGCTTTTTGCACTGCTGCACTACCCTGCTCCTGGGCTTATCTCCCCAACCTGGACACCTGGGAAGCATGCTGTGCTTCAGCGTTTCCCTGACTTTGAAGAAATGGAGCGCTGGTGGGGCTGCTGCGGAGGTCAGTAAAACTATGCTAATTGGTGAACCTAATTGCTTCAAGCAGTCCTGCCTCTAAACATGGAAAGAGCACAGTTGATGGAGTCAGTCTGTTCCTAATAAAATGAAGAACCACTGAATTAAATTCCCAAGGAAGGCACTATAAAAGTTTCCACAGTGTAACCAAATGACTTCACCTATGCTATTACCTCTAAGATGACATCTTTGAAAGAAAGCAGGCCCCAGTCGGGCTCCACATTCATAAATCGACTGAGCTTAGGCCAGTGAATCTGGATTTATTTAAAAAGGTTTTTCATTCTTCCAATCAAATGAAGTCATTTTTAATTAGATGCTTTCTGTTAACAACGTCACTCTTCTCCACATTACCTGCTCACACTTGCAGCGCCTCTAGTGCAATATCTGGGGCTCGAGTCCCCTGCAAGCAGTCCTCCCAACAGATTGGCTGGAGGGTGGTATTTCCGTTTCTCAGTCCCTGTCGGAAGGAAGATCCCATTCAGCGGCCTGATGGCGCGGGACATATCAACTCTCTAAATTGAGAGATTACTAAACAATCTCTGGAAAAACTCTTAAGATACACTCTGCCAATATCTTTTTTTATGAACTACACAGCACTTTCTCCGCTGTTCCCGCCTTGCAGATGGGTGTTTTAAAAAGTGCCAAGGGCCACAAAACTCCCACTGACCCTCCAACTTCGTGAAACCCAGTTGCTCCTTAAAATAGAAAATCAGGTGTGAGGGTCCCCAACGATGCCCCAGGCCTTGCTTCCTACCCCTACCAGCAGCCCACCACCTGAAGAGGACTGGCTGTCCAAGGCAGGGCAAATCGTTAAGCACTCAAAGAGGATGGCAAGGCTCAGCGCTTTAGCCAGCGCGGGTTAAGGAAAGAGGCGAAATGGTGAAGTTGGAAAAAGAGGCTTCGTTCGACGGTGGATCTCTGAACTTCAAAAGATTGGCAGGGACCCGGTCACACTCCCTGGGGCCCATTCCTAAAAGGCTTGCCGCGCCCACCCGAGGGGGCGCCGACCCGAGGGGCGCCAACTGCCCGCGCGGAACCGGGGCGTTGGGCCTGGGGTTCGGGAAGCGTGCGCCACCCCCCGGTCAGGCCTGGCTTCCTTCTTGAATGCCCCCGGCGCGGGCCAGAGGCTTTGTCCCTCCAGCCTGCTCGAGGAGTGGTGGCCTTCTCCGCGGACGAGAGCACGGCCTCTAGCCTTCCGCCGACGTCTCAGTGCGCAGATAACACGGCCCGGGTCCCTCCGCCGCGCCGGGCACCGCACTTGCGTCGAGCGCCGGGCAGCCAACCCCGCGCGGGAGGCTCCGCGGCCGGATATGGGCCTAGCTTCCGGGAGCTGCTCCCCGCTGAGCCGCGCTTACGGTCGGAGTTAGCCAGGCCCGGGGAAAGGGGTGGGAGGGGTCGCTACAAGGGATCCTACCTAGCCCGCAGAGTGAAAAATTCGTTCGCAAGGGATCGCCCTTGAGGGGTTAGGGTCGTGAAGAGACACTCGAGAATTAGGGTCCCGGACTGCTGTGGGGCCGGGCCTGGACTGGAGGCAGGTGTTCCCTGCCGCCCTGGGGCCCTGCAGCACCGATGGCCGAGATGATCTCAGGGCTCAGGCGGACGAGGGGTCCGCCACAGGCACCTTAGGACCCTGGCGGCCCGAAGGCATAGGACCTTCAGGAAAGCCTCGGGGGACCTAGCGCCAGGTCACGATTCCATTCGGGGCGGGACCTTCCCAGCAGGAGTTGCTGGCCAAGGAAAGAGTCTGGACCCGGGACCTTGGAGCCCAACTCGCAGTCCTGCTCGGCTAGGGATGCGGAGGGGTCGGGAGCTCGACGGCCAAGCGACAGGGAATTCTGAGTTCCTAGAGATCTACAGGAGGCAGAAGCACGACACTAGATGAGATTAGACAGTGACGGCGGAAGGACGGAACCACACGGAGACTGACACACTTTGCGAGTTGGGACTCAATTGCATTTCTTCGAATCCTTGATTCCGAAGTTTCCCCGCCCTCCTAAGCAAGAGCGTTTGGGGAAACTAAGTTCCTTAGACTCTTTCATCCTTGTTATGTGAGCTCAGGGAGGAAGGCAGACAATAGCTGCAGCCTAAACACCTGCTATCTCTCAATGCAATAAAATACAGACGGTGATTGGAATCGTTTCTCTTTTTGCTTCCAGAGGGAGCTCAAACCTGAAGCATCAAGGTTATCTTTTCCCAAAGGTAAAACAAGAGATTTGCAAAACCTGCTAGGGACACCACAGCCCACATCTAGAGGGGGTTCCCCTTTGCAAACAGAAAAGGCAATCTGATTTTTTTTTTTTTTTTTTCATTTTAGTGTTTGTTTGAACCTACGTTCGGTACCTGCGAAGACTAAAACACTTACTTGACGCTCTAGAGACTCAGCTAGAACTGACTGAGCAAAGGGAACTCAGGCAAAGGAAAGGGAAGGTAGGGAGGAGAAAACAGTAAGCGGAGGTCTGGATGGGATAGTGCGCGGGGACTCCTCTGACCCGGCGGCGGGACCCAGCTGCCGCGCAGGTAAATCCCAATATGCCTGGCACTGGGGTTCTGGACAGACTTGGTCTAAATACGGCCACGTGCTCAGGGCTGCTGTGCTCCAGCTGTGCGTTTCCGGGCGGTTTGCGCGCACGCGCACGTGCACACACACACACGGGCGCGTGCCTCTGTCCTGGCGCTGGGGTCTGAGGTTATCCAGGCAGCGGAACCCCCATGTTCCTGCTGGCCACTTGACGATGTCGCTCATACTGGATACGGGGTCTCTCTAGTCAAGGAGGGCGGGCAGACGGAGGCACCCGGCTTGTGGGTATCCAGCCCCACGTAGGGGAAGGGCTCACAGAGGGGCAGAGCCCAGGGAGAAGCGACATGACCCCGGCTCCGTGCTCCTACCCGGCTATAGGCCGGGTCACCTGTCAGTTTGTACTCTCTCAGCTGGCTCCCAGTCCCTCCTCGCTCCCCGCAGCCACGCAACAACGGGCTGTCAGCCCGAGCTGGGCGCCTTGGCGGCTTTCTGGTGCCCCAGCCCTGCAAGCCAGGACTCACCCCACACTGACGCTTCCAGGTACAGTCACCAACAGCGCCAGATCCTTATTCCAGCCTCCAGATCCCTGCCTTTTCCCCCCACCGAGCAAAGACAGGTTGGTGTTTGGGGGTGGTGGTTGTTCTTTTAAAAGTATATTAAAGGATCATTGGCGTCTCCCCGTTAAGTCATTACGCCTTTATCCCCATCAATTAACCACACCTCAGAGGGCTGCTATTAAGAGCTCAAATGAGCTGCAAAAGTAGGTATCCCGTTTCAGGCAGATGTTGTTATCTCCCGCTGAGAGGCGCGGCCGGCGGGGCCGGATCCTCCGCTTCCCGCGACTGCCGGAGTCGCGCTGGACTAGGCTGACCGCGCAGGGCGGCGAGGCTGGAAGGGAGGTCGCCGCCCGACAATGAGCGGGTGCCAGAGGAGCCAGAAGGAGTGAGAAGTGCCCTAGACCCGTGGCCTCAAGCGCCATGCACTTCAAGGGGACGTGTCTCCGGAGCTGTGCCAGAACGAACACCAAGAACGAGCTGTGCGTTTTTGCGCAGAGAAGTAGTCTTCGCAAGACCGCAGCTCCCTGCCGAAGGCCCAGAAAGGGAGTGCGGGGGAGAGAGCAAACTAGTGAGTTTGGCTGGCAGTGCTCCCCCGACACACCCCACTTTCTCTTCCTGCCACTCCAGACTCCTTCCCGGCAGCAGGCTTCCAGAACCCCTTGTTGGTAAAGGCAAGGTCGTGTGGGGATGCAGGATATGGAATTAGGGAATCCGGGACAGAAACGTAGCATTTAGGACAAAGGGGATTCACTGGGGACTTCCTTGGCCTTTGCCCAGATGTGTCTTTCCACCCTTTCTCACTCCAGTCACTCCCGAGGACTTGGGGCACGACTGTCACACGCAACTGGGAGATCCTGGAAGACGGCGGAAAAACGAACAAGGGGAGATGGCCCTCACTGCAGTGACAGGGTTTTCCTTCAGTCAGTGGCCACAATAAATTTAGCCAAGGCTAAAGGAGATTAATTTCCCAGCATAATCCAATTAAAAGATTTCTAAAGTAATCTTTTGCGAAAATGAAAAGTGCGCGACTAAAGAGGGGACCGGTTTTGATGACAGTGATTTATCGCCTCAGCACAGCACGCACGGGATGGTCTCTCTCCAAGTGATTTGACCAGAGCACTCCGTCCTCGCCTCCTGTCCAAACCTTCCCTTCCTGAAAGACAGCCATCTATCACTCCAACCTGGGCAGGAGAGAATGTGCAAGGGGCTGGGGCGGCTTGCAAGCACCATAGACTTTTTTAAGTGCTATTAGATTTATGGTCTCTTTTTCGACGCCCATCCAGAGTAATTAGCACATATGTTCTAAATAGATGATAGTTTTGTGAGCAATAAAGCAATTACCCATCGTTGGAGCTGACAGTTCCTCCAACTAAACTCCAACCAGCAGCTAATTGGAAAAGTCATTTCAGCTCCATTGTCTGCAATTAGTCCTGCTAAACTACTACACCCCAACTAGCTGGTTTGAGGTTAATTTATTCAATGTTGTGTTTGCATGGACAAGCCTTTGCCATGAAGGGACTTGCCTTTTGCCCCTCTGGACTGCGCCCAGGGGCTAGAAGAGCAGATGGGAGTGAGCAGCCAATATTTGGGGGCCGGGATGGCCCCCGGGGGAGGAGGCACCAGACTGGGCCTCAGCTTCAAAGTTAGTTGTCCAGTGGCTGAAAGCCTACAGAGAAAACCATTGTTTCTCCTGCTAGACAGTAACCGGAGAAAACTGCTCAGTTCATGCTACCAAAACCTTTATTTAAAAAAATAGAAATTGTCACCACAGAGAAAGCCACTGTGTTCTCAATTCGCCCCTTGCCCACACATCCAGTCATGACCCTGGGCCACCACACCGTCCCTAAGGAATAAACATAGAGTCAGACCGCCAAAACAGAAAAGTTCTGAGCCCTGAGGGAGTGGGGGACAGGATCCAATTCTGGGAGTGATTCGAGGAAAGAAAAGACAGGAAAGGTCAGGAAGCCCAACCTCTGCCTCAGCCTCTCTGAGTTTAAAACCACTTCCCCCTTGAAAGCGGGGTTTCTCTGTGACTTTCTTTGATTTTTTCCCCTTCCTTTCTTATATTTTTTTCTTCCTTTCTTTCTAAAAGTTAAGCCCAACAGGTCCAGGATTTGTGCACAGTGAGTGGAAAAAATGTGTTAAACGTCGGTTTGACGCCCCACCGGAGCTTCCAAATATCCAGCGGCTGGGATTCTTCTACTTAATTTAATCTTTATTGGACAGGGCGGCTCCTATGCTCCTATTCACTAGGAAACCCGGGGAAACGTATCCGTTGGGGTTCAGAATTGAGGGTGGGAAGGAAAGGAGTTAAAGAGGGATTAATCCTCCCCCACCCAACTTCAAACTTTAGAACTGCAATCGCCTGCAGCCTAGGGGGGTGTCCCCCAAGTCCCAGCCCTGACAGCTCCAGCTCTGGGATCTGGAGCCAGAGGAAGAGAGGTTGGCAGGTTGAGATGGGAACTTGTAGCCCTGGTAACCGTGTATTCCCTTGATGGAATTTTACATTAAAGTGTCCCAAGCTCTGGGAGCAATGAGAATTTTACTTAGAAGAACATAGGGTAGGGGGAGCATCCACCTCTTAGGAGGTAAAGCCCAGTGCTTTCAGTCCTAGAAATCCAATGTCCTTTTCTGGATTATCATTCATATTAAATGTCCTGGGAGATGTTTTTCTTTTTGAAGTAAATACTATAACAATGCCTAAGGAAGACAACTTGGACATTTTAACCAGCATATGAGACTTATTAATTCCTATCTCAAAAAATTATGATTAATTCCTCAGCTTCAAGAATTTGGAGACATGTGTCTATAGCATGTAAAACTTTTAAACTGCCTAATGTCAGGCTCTTATTTTCCACTATTTATTGTATTTTAACCAATTTAACTCCAAACAAAAAGAAAAAATTGTGGGGAGAAATTGAAAGTAAAGGTCTTGTCTTGCCCCATTACCTCCCACCTGTCACACACTCTCCTCCCCCGAAGAGAAATCCTCCTGTCACTGTGACTTCTAGTTGAAAACAGAAAGGAAATAAGATGACTTCTGGAAAAAGCTGTCCATTGTGTTCTTAATTATTTTTTTTTTCAGTACTTAAATATGCCCAGAGAGTGACGGCATGAAAAAGCTGAATGAAGAGTCAGCTGAAAGTATCACCTAGACTTGCTTGTTAGAGAATTCTAAGGTAGACATGTGTGCATACTTATGCGTAAGGGCAAAATAACCCACCTAATCACCTAATCCCATGTATGGGAAATATTTATGTATATATCCATGAACTGAAAAATCTTTAAGTACATGTGTGCAGAGATTCAGTTCTATGAAAGCTCAGCTAGCTGTCCGCATGCATGTATTCACTCCTGGAGTAAAGGCATTTTTGTTGCTCCCATAGTTTCTTTCCATTAAGAGCGATTAGATGATGTCTATTCAAAGTTGCTGATCCAGAGAGAAAATAAGAGTAGATAAAAGGAGATTTCAAGTGACCTCCTCGTCCCTTTCACACCAACCTGAGCCCTAGAATAGCCAAGGATCAACTAACACAAAAGCCCTTTCCTTTCTCTTTTCAGCTTCAGAAGATTTTATGCAGGGGGGTAACAATAAAACATAGAACGATCCCCGAGTTTTGTTAGATCATGCATTTGGAATACTTTATTAACTCCCCCCAAAGATGGGCTAGGTTTATGTTCCACCTTTGAAATGGGTAAATAAAATATACATAGCATAATTGTTTACTGTTCTATTGCTTATATCAGTGTTGTACTATGCTTATGCTTTTTTTTTTTTTAAACTTTACCTAAACCCCTCTCTCCTCAATGATGGAGGACATTGTAATAAATATATCTTTCCACTGACAGTTTAGACGAAATGTTAGGTTTATTATTTAGATCAACCTTCTGATAGGTATATACCATTGCAGCATGACTGGTAACACCAGCAGATCTGCTGGCTTTTTGAGCCAATACTTTTCCACTAGTTTATCTCATAGGCAGTAAAGAAAGTGACATTAAAGACTTAAACATATTAGAGCAGTCTTTAGTCAGTAAAATATCCAACTCAGATCTACTTCTGATGGGCTAATCCTGTAGTAAAAGAAATAGGTGCTCTGACAGGTAACTATTAAGGGAAATGATTATATAGAGCAGTAGAGCAGTTGATTTTATTGTCAGGGTACTCCAACAACCTTCAAACTCATTTCAAAACTTCAACTTTCATCCAGACCTAACCCATAGTGAAGAATAGCCATGCAGTTTTATTCTTCACTCAAGCTGGGTATTTAAAATAAATACATTTTGTAACATAAAAGTCTCCAATTATTTCCTTTCTTTCTTTTTGCATAAATGCATTTAGATAGCTAAGACTTGATTTTTATAAAAAGTAAATATTTGGCTCTGGTTTCACTGGTGTGCTGAGAATGATTGTCACTTTTCCTCCTCTAAAAAGGCTTGATTTGCATCCAAAGGTCAGTGCTTGCTCTCCTGCCATCCTTCCTCCTGCTGCTTCTCCTGGGCCCTCTAACTGGGGGCCTAGGCCAAAAGGGGAAGTGCTTCCCTTATCTCTCTTTTTCCAAACACGTGCTTTAAATGACCGGTTTGAGATAGAAAACTAAACTAAGGTATAGCACTTAACTCTGAGCATTTCAACCCAAAGGTGACAAAGAAGAAATGCCTGGGCTACCAGAGCGATAGTAAACACTGGAGTCTGTTGGGTTCACGGTTTGACTACATGTACAGGCTAAGGGTAGGCAGTCCAGCAGAAGCCTGACTCCTAACTTGGCCTGTCCACCTGGTTTTTTGTTGATAAAGGCAGGACTTTTTACAACTGGGCAGCCACAATATAGGCTGGGTTCAGTCCTGGGGGTAAAGATTTCTGAGATAGGCTGGGGTTTAGTTTGTTTGTTTTGGTTTTGTGTTTTAGTAATCACAAAATATTAGATGGGCATTCCTGCGCCTCTCTCCACCCTTTCTTCCAAAAGATCTGTGCGAGACCATTTTAAATACATCTTCAACTATGTCCTTCCTGGCTTTAATCTCATGCCAGGGGAGACTAATTGATTCGGCACCTTTCAAATAAGCTCTTTGGGAAAGGTCTGCAGCAAGATCAGAGGCACTGACCTTTTTCTCAATGATTGCAGGCATGTTCATCTCTCCAGATGGGCTCGATAAAACGGGCTTAGTTCTGTTCTGTGGTCTTGCTAAACAGAATAATACCATTTTTAACGATTTTGAGGTAGGGAAGAGGTAAAAAAGAGAATTTCCTACACATATCTGATCATTTGTAGGGTCCCATGGCTCTTGAACTAGATTTGGAAAATGTTTTTACAAGGTCACTTTTGTTCAGTGTGACTTACCAAAAAGCTAAAATGAATGACTTTCGGGAGACCAAGATATCAATATCAAAAAAACCTATAGAATTAGTGAAAACGGTTCAGCCTCGTAAAGAAAGATATGGAGGGAGGGAGTACCTTAACAGGCTAGACAGTCCGCTTAGATCCGGACTCTAGGGTCTGGAACGCAAGTCATCCCTGAATGTGCAGCCAAACCGATCTGTGCTTCTCTTCCTCTCTCACCAGATCACAACAATTTACTGGGTGGAGAGCTGGGAGAGATCAACCTTTGTCTGGTATGTCTTTTAAAACGTGATTAACGCTGAGCTTGATGCTAGCAGCCCGCAAAGGGTACTATAGGCTTACAGCCTAATTCCTTTCCCCAAGCAGAGCGGTACCTTCTCATTGCCTTTTGGGGGAACTACACTAAAGATCTAGTGTGCACTGAACAGGTCTGTGGGGAACAGGAAGGCAGAGGAAGGACGGGAGGCTCCCGGGAGCCCAGGCCCCGGTGAGGCCCTTAGAGTTCCCAGACCCGCCAAACCGAGAGAGAGAGCCTGGAGAGGGCTGAGCCCCGGTGGGCCTGGCTGGAGGCCTCAGGTAGGATGCTGAGGCAAAAGCCACAGCGGTCTGAGTCCAAGAACCACGTCCAGACTTAGTTTAAGGTTCCGAGGTGAAGGGCCGGGCCTAGAAGGGAGGAAGATCTGAAGAAGAGTGGGTGGGTGAAATAAAAGTGAGCACTGAAACTGCGTTTTCTGCTCCTGCAGCTGAGCGTGCCTGGACAAGTATGTAGGATTTCCCAATTGGGGGATCTAAGTACTCTCGAAAACTGTGATCAGTTTTCTGTTAGGTATCCTACCCCACAACAAAAGATATCATTATTTCCTGGTTGAGTGTGGGTCGCATTAGGCCCAGGACAAGTGTGCCAAGTGGGACCAGTATCAAACGAGAACCTTGAAGATAGAAAGAAAGGGCTTCCCAGGAACTGAGCTGACCTCTCAGTGCCTCTGGGGAAGACATTTTTGCTGGAGGCAGGGCTATGAGCACAAGTGGGGCGCCCTGTAGGTGTGCCACCGCGGCAGGGGAGCACAGGCTTCCGAAGAGAAACAGCTCTAAGTGCCGCTCAGGCCGGACGAGTTCCAGAGGGGGACAGCGCCCTCCTCGAAAAGACTTGGTTTCTCCCCGCCCCCTCTTGTGACAGAAAGTTGGCACGGATGCCCCGTAGGAGTGCGAGCCGCTCCCCTCCTCCGAAAAGCCGCGGGCTTCCGCTGCTCCGGGCATCACCACCAACAGCTTCCCACTCCCACCCCTGGGACTAGGACAGGGGACTGCACCCTCCCCCTTCCTTCCGGAGGAGCCTGCGGCTTCGCCTGAGGCCTCGCCGGCCCAACTTCTCCCCACCCCCAGGGTCACGCCGGGTCCCAGGGGCCTCTTTCAAGTTTGAAAGCTCGGTGGGGGCACTGAGAGTCCACAGTAAGGATGGGTGGGCGCCGCTGCTCCCGGGCAGGTTCAGCTGTCATCTTGTCTCGCCTTGGCCCTCGCCTACAGGGCCTGACCCCGGGCCAGCACAGCTAGGCAAGACCGCCTCGCTCCCGAGCCCCCCTAGCCTCCTGGTGCGGTCCCTAGCGTCTGCTGCCCCCGCCCCCCGCGCGCACTCTGACGCAAACGCACGCCCCTGCCCGGCACTGAGGAAAGCGCTCTTGTTGGTTTTAATTGAGCCTCTTCCTTTCAACACACCCGCTCTGTCCCCACCCCTGGGAGGCGACCCCCTCCCCGCCCCCAGTCGGCTGGTAGCAGCGCAGGGAGTCTGGTTCTGCTGCTAGGCTGCGAATCCCGGTGCTCTCTCGCCGCCGCCGAGGTTGTCTGCTCGGGAGAGCAGCTTGATGTCCCTTTTAATTCGCTGACACTATCGCCCACATCAGACAGGCAGCCATCGATCGCGTTACATTAGGGGATGGCGTTACAAACGGCGCCCGCAGGTGGACGGCTGCAGGCAAGCTCGCCAGGTTCTGGTCGCAACCAGGCAAGGCGCGGGCACAAGGGCCAGCCGGGCCGGACTCCGCAGCCGGCTCCACCGCGGGTTGCGCTCGGCACCAGTAGGAACAGCCCGGCCGGTGTTAAACGGGCGGGTCCCCGTCCCCAGCCCAGGCATCCGTTTCCCGCCGTGGGAGAGAGAGGGAATAGCGGGTGGGGGTGGGGGCAGCTTGTTTTGAATGTGGATTGCTGCTCGCCTGGTACGATCCTCCCCTCCAAGGAGGCGCGGCGGCCGCGATCCTCGCCTTCGCGCCACGGCGAGGCAGAGGCCGAGCGAGGGCAACTCCCGAGCAGGCTCCGCGGAAAGTTCTCCTCGTCCGGCCCTGGCTGCCTAGACTCTGCTCTCGGCCTGCGGAGGCCGTGCGAGCCAAGACTGCCTTCCGGCCCTGCCCGTTACCAACCCCAAGTTCAAGAGAAACGATAACCATTGCGTTACTTGCCTGGTGAGGCAGGATTTGGCCGAGTCTCGTTTCTGGTGCCCACGACGCACGGTCCAGGGTCCGAGCGCGGCTGGGCCGGCGGACCTGGCATCCAGTGTGCCTGCGGTGCCCTGGCGCTCGCTGTTGCTCGTCTCCCACTCCCTCCGTCTCTCTCCGCGTTCTCCTTCCCTCACCCTATCTCCCTCTCTCCGCCTGCTGCCTCTGCCCTCGACTGCCTGCCTCTGACTGTATGGGGAGTACGATTTAGAATCTGTACGTAGAAAGATTTTCTTTTCTTTCTTTGCTTTTGGTCTACTTTAATCGTGTTCGTTTCACCTTTTAACTGACCAGAAGATGGAAGCGCGTTTGCGCGTTTATTTTGGGCATAAGGGCGAGGGCAAGGAGCCCCTGCCACCCCCAGTCGCCTCCTCGCCATCAGCTGCGTACAATGGGCCACCGCTCGCGGAGTGCATTGACAGTTCTCCATTATTCGAGCTGGAGGGGCTCTGGGGCAGACACGGGAAAGCCTTTTATTCTGCTCTTTAAAATCATCGCTCGTCACTAAGCGGTCGCCGACTCCCGACTTGTAGGCTGCAGAGACCGGGAAGCGCAAAACGTCCCCCAAACACGCAGTGCTTCCCAAACCCCTCCCTGGTGAGACTTAAAGTGAGAACGAGTATTAAAAAACAAACCCTACCTCTGTCAATACAGCGTGGCCATTTACTTCCACCTTTACCTGAGGGCATGTTGGCGCTAGGAATGCTCGAGCTGAGACAAACTTTTACGCCCTCGCGAATCGAGGGGCGGGCGGGCGAGCGCTGCTCCCACCCCCGGCGGCGGCAGCGGCGGCTTTGTCACTCCGCGCCGCTCCGCGCCCGCCTGAGCCTGCCTAGGGGAGCGATCTCAAAACGAGGGGGGTGCGAGTATGCGATTGGAGAATATGTAACTAATAGAAGTATCATTTTCCCCCAGTACGATCTTTCAAGGAAAAAAAAATCCATTGAAAGAATTTTCAAAGTGCTGTCTTCGTTTGGAGAAAAGGCACAGGCTGCCTGCGGGGAGGGGAGGAGGGACTCGGCTGTGTGCCGCCCGGGAGCGGCTCCCGTCCGCTAGGTGGCAGCCGGAGCCAGCGATTCTTGCAAGCCCCGCCGCGGGACCCGCTCCTCCCGCCTGCCCCTCCTCCCGCGACCAATCACCTTCGGGAATCGGGGTCTCGGTCTCTCTTTCTCTCTCTCTCCTCTCTCTCCTCTCTCTCTTCTCTTCTCTTCTCTCCTCTCCTCTCTTCTCCTCTTCTCTCTCTCTCTCTCTCTCTCCTTTCGTCTCCTCTCTCTCCTCTCTCTCTCTCTCTCTCTCTCTCTCTCTCTCTCTCTCTCCCTCTCCCCCTCCCTCTCTCCCCTCTCATTCTCTCTCTCCTCTCTTCTCTCCCCTCTCTCCTCTCTCTCTCCTCTCTCAATGTCTCGCGCTCTCTCTCTCTCTCTCTCTCCTTTCGTCTCCTCTCTCTCCCTCCCCCTCCCCCTTTTCTCTCTCCCTCTCCGCCTCCCCCCCTCTCCATCTTCTCGTTTGTTTGCTCTTTTCCCGGGACTGATTTGGCCACACTAATCTCCCCCCACCCCGCAACAATACGGGGACTTACTACTGTTTTATTAATAATTATTGAAGCATTGTTGGAGTTTGGAACAGCCAGGTGATTTTAAAAAAAAAAGAAGAAGAAGAAGAAGAAGAAGAAGAAGGAAAAACTGGATTGATTGGAAAGTTTATTTTTAAAATCGTCTTTGGGATAAATAGGAACCCTTGATTCCGATCGAATTTGTGGCAATAGCTGCAAATTCCAGGAGTGTGCTTTGTCGTCATTAAACCTTTTAAACCCAGGTATACTTTGGATCAAAAAATAGGGAGATCCTACCTTGTTTATAACAAGGATATAAAATGAGCAGAATCCAGACTTGGATTGTGCTTATATGTGAGAGAAGAAAACAATCCAAATCCAGTATATTTCACGAATCATTAAAATGGTGGGGGTTTCATTCCCGTTAAAATTTTTTCTAAACATTTTAAATGACACTCTCTTCACGCTCATAAAATCTAATTTTAAAAACTTTTCAGAAGAAATCAAAATAATTTCCTTCTAATTCTCCTTTTGCCCATCGCTAGGCGTTCTCCCCCCCTCGTCATCCCTTCCCCCTCTGGGGTGTATGCGTAAGTGTGTGTGTGTGTGTGTGTGACCATAGACGACCCATACTAATCAGGTCTCAGAGTAAATAGCAGCGCAGGGCGATCTCAATGTAAATTGCGCTTGTCAGAAACACACCCCCCTCCCTCACTTTCTCTCCTCCTCCCCACACCATCCCAGTCTGTAGGTAGCTAAGAGGGAGGGGGGAAAAAAAGAAAGAAAGCAGAAGAGGAGGGGGGAGGGGCTCTCCAACCAATGGCGTGCAGGAGGCTTGGCTAACCTTAGCCTCCCATTTTCTCTCCCCCCGATTCAGGGCTCTGACCAGTCAGTCGCCTTTGATTATCAGTTGCCAGCAGCCCTTCTCTTGGCTCCTTGACACGAGCTCCATATAAGGCAGCGATCTCCATAGAAACGTGTCAGTTTCAATAGTAGTGTCAAAGTTCACTATATACAGACATTCGCGCAGATCCCCCTTTCGGAAACATTGCTCTGCGAGTCCTCCCGTTTAAACGCATTCAATTTTTGGGTCTCTCTCTCTCTCTTCTCTTCTCTCTCTCTCTCTCTCTGTCTCTCTCTCTCTCTCCTCTCTTTCTCCCCCCCTCTCTCCCTCCTCTCTTCTCTCTCCTCTCTTCTCTGAACCTCTCTTCTCTCTCCTTTCTCTTTTCTTACATATTCTACTAGTTGTTTTCCCCTTCTTCTCCTTCTTTCTCTCCTTTTTCTCCCTCCTCGTCTCTTTTACTCCATTCCTGCAGAAGAGAGAGGGCTAAACTTAAAGAAAAAAAAAGGAGGAGGAGGAGGAGGAGGAGGCACCCCCTTCGTATTCTTCTTATCGTTATTTTATACATATATGATTTTTTTTGGAGGGAGGGTGTTGGTTCCCGGCTGAAGAGCACTTATTTAAAATACTAAAAAAAGAACATTTTTGGGCGATCTCCAGGGTTTTTTTAACTAGCTCTGTGTGTTATAGCAGAAGAAGCAGAAGAAGGAGCAAGAAAGAGGAAAAGAAGAGGATTATTTATTCGACCTACTTTGGATGTCTCTCTCGCTTTTCCTTTTTCCTTTTTTTGGCAATTATTTTCTTCTGATTTTTATTTTTTCTATTTCGCTGTGAATTCGTCGCCGGCGTGAATTATCCCGTATTTTTTTCCCCCTTCCGTCACCTCCCGAAAGAAGAAGGCAGCTAGAGCCCGGCGCCACCGGCACAACAAAAAGAGCAAAGTGTGTGATCTTCCTCGCCGGCTGCCTCCCGCTCTCCAGCGCTGCCTTCCTGAATGGCTGGCTGCGTCCGGCCCTGGACCTGGCCCCCCGACACCCGCGCGCCCTGATCGCCGCCGGCAGCCTCGCCCAGCGCCCTGCTCGGCTCACCGCGCTCCCTGCACTCCCGAGCCCGGCGAGGGCTCCCGCCGGGACAGCAGCGGCGGCGGCGCGGGCGGCCCCGGCCTCCACTCGCACTCCGGCTGCGGCCCCGACTCCTGCTCGGACTCCGGCCCGGGCCCGGGCTCCACCAGCGGCGCTCGCCGCAGCAGCTCCGGCGGCAGCTCCAGCGGCGCCTGCAGCCGCGACCTCCTCCTCCGCCGCCGCCGCCGCCGCCTCCGCCCTCGCCGGCTTCCTCTATGTCGGCTCAGCCCGCGCGCTGCGCGTAGCCCGAGCGGCCGGCGGGCGGGCGGGCGGGCGCCCGGCGCGGGTGAGCGAGTGTGTGTGCGAGTGTGTGTGTGCGCGGGGGTGCGGGCGAGGCGGAGGGCGAGTGTGTGCGCGCGCCGTGGCCCATGCCCGCCGCCCCCGGCGCTGCGCCCCGCGCCGCTCCCGGCTGCCGCCTGTGCCATTTCTGATTTTGCAACTTGGGGAAGAAGAAAAAAGCGAGAGAAGGGAGCTTGCTCGCCGGGGGGTGGGGAGGGGGGAAGGAGAGCGCGGCCCCCCCAGGAACGGAGCGCGGGGGGAGCGGGCGAGGGGAGCAGGGGTGTTGGGGGGGGAGCCTGAGAGCCTGGGGGGGCTGCAAAAAGAGAGAAAGAAAACAGCAGGAACCACAACAAAACGCCAGCAGGGCGGGCGGGCGCGCAGCAGCAGCGGGGCGGCCGAGGCAGTAGCGGCGGCAGCGGCGGCGGCGGCGGAGGCAGCGGCCGGTGCCCGGCTCGGGCTCGGCTCCTGCGACCCCGGGGCGCCCGGCGGGCCCCCCGCCCCCTCCCCCTCCCCCCTTCCCCTTCCCCTTCCCCTCCCAGCGCGCCGGCGCGGGCGCTCGAGCGCCGCGCGCGCGCGCGCGCGAGCGCTCCCCGGGCCCAAAGATATGGCAATGGTAGTTAGCAGCTGGCGAGATCCGCAGGACGACGTGGCCGGGGGCAACCCCGGCGGCCCCAACCCCGCAGCGCAGGCGGCCCGCGGCGGCGGCGGCGGCGCCGGCGAGCAGCAGCAGCAGGCGGGCTCGGGCGCGCCGCACACGCCGCAGACCCCGGGCCAGCCTGGAGCGCCCGCCACCCCCGGCACGGCGGGGGACAAGGGCCAGGGCCCGCCCGGTTCGGGCCAGAGCCAGCAGCACATCGAGTGCGTGGTGTGCGGGGACAAGTCGAGCGGCAAGCACTACGGCCAATTCACCTGCGAGGGCTGCAAAAGTTTCTTCAAGAGGAGCGTCCGCAGGAACTTAACTTACACATGCCGTGCCAACAGGAACTGTCCCATCGACCAGCACCACCGCAACCAGTGCCAATACTGCCGCCTCAAGAAGTGCCTCAAAGTGGGCATGAGGCGGGAAGGTGAATATTTCTTCTCTGCTTCTCTCCCCGCGCTTCGCCCGCCTCCCTGGCTCTTTCTTTCTTTCTCGCCCGGGTGGTTGCTGTGTGGGGCTGGGGCTCCTGTGGTCCCGGCCTGTCCCAGCTTCCCTTCTCCCCGCTGCCTTCCTCCCCCGGCGTCTCCCCCCGCCCTCCCCAGCTCACTGCCGCTGCCTCCCCCTCCCGGCCTGCGCTCCTCTCCCCGGCTCCCCCACCCCGCCCGCTGCCTGCTCAGGATTGTGTCCCTGAGATCGTGAGCTGTGGCTTAAAATCCCCTTCTTCCCTCTGTCTTGGATGTGCTCGGTGTGTCTCTTTCCCGCGTGTGCGTGAGGCTGCTTGGGGCTGTGCTGGCATGAACTTGGGGAGGGGTGCTTATTTCCCCCAGAAAACTCTGTTTCTGTGTTTTTTTCATTACACTTTTCCCTCCACCTCTTCATACCCTTTATTTAAAATGGGGGAGGGTTGGGGTTGGAGTACCCTGAACCATAGATTCATTGCTGCCATCATCCTTTTGGAAGCTTAGCTTGGAAAAAGAGGAGTGAGATTTATTGCACTTGTAGGTCTAATTAGGGGGGAAGGGGGGCTTCTGGCCCGTTCACTGGTTCCCTCTCTTCTTCACGGAGCTGGGGCCGCCTCCTCCAGAGCTGTGGCCTTGTTTTCACCCCTCTACTTTGAAAGGAAAGTTTGTGACTGAACCGTGCTTTCATAGTTGTGTCATTTTTTTTAAAGCATGATACTCGTTTTATTTCTTCATCAAACTCCACCCTCTGCTTAAATACTGCATACAAATTACAATTTACAACGGCATTTACCCGATCCTTCTGATTTGGCCATAATGCATAGACTGCAGCTGGCATGAGCTTCCACATCATTTAATCCCTGTGTTGTATGGCTTTGTTTTTTAAAAAAACACAACTTTTGATGTTGTATTTGGATATGCTTCATGTTCATGTGGCAAGAGATGCAGTACTTTTCTTATAAATATATTTAGCCGTTTACAGTTAAACTTTATCTCTTGACAATCATTAAAGATGTCTTATAGTCAAATTAGCGAACCAGTCAATTTTGCAGAATGCAGATTACTCCTTCTTGTAATTGACTTTAAAATTGTATTTTATATGCCACAAGAAAAGAAATTGAATTCCTTCAGATCTTAAGGAGCAGACAAATATGACTACTTCATTTCTAGCTCCAGGGAGATTTTGTAGGCATCTGAAAGAAAAAAAAAAAAAAAACTTTGAATTGTACTCTCACTTAATTGAAAAATAACTGCCAAGTTCAAAACTATAATTAGAAAAAAGTATTCTAGCCATTATGTTTCAAGAGCTTAAATTGCACTGGAACTTGCATTAAAATTAGAATCAAAGCAAACTTCATAAAATAGAGCAAAACCTGAAATAAGACAGCTACATGTACATGAACATATCTATATTAATTTGTTGGGGGGAAGAGTTCAGTAGCCCTAACTTTTCCTAAAGTTGTCTTTGTTTACATGGCAATTTAAAACGCTGGCACTGTTGAAGTAAAACATACACATTAAAAAAAAAAAAAAAAAAAAAAAAACTTTGGTCAGCTTTAAGAACTCAAAGCATGCTTACGTTTTGCATTCAGATGGTTAATGAATCCAGTGTTTTTGCAGTTGAAAGCTCGTGCATTCACTGGGCAAAAGCTGGCTGCAGGTTGCAGTGGCACCGCGCAGGACAGACATTAATTATATTTCCTACTTTTTTCAATAATGTTTGGCTACTGTAAGTTCAACTTTTTTTCTTGAAAATTTTCAATTTTCTGTTGCTTTTAATAGTGAGAACTTTGTATGGGGCGACGGGGAGGAGAGGAGAAGGGAGGGGCGCAGGATACTTGTTCTCTACTCAAAAGTTGTAAGTGGTTAGTAGGATATGTAACTTGTGTCTATTTTAAGAACTATTCTATAGCATTTTAAGAGAATGTGGAAACATTTTATCAGCAAAACGCTGCTTGCTTGCAAATGAGGAGGCCGCTAGGCATTTGCCTAGAACCACAACCTTTCTCCGGTTTCGCCTTTTTTTAACCTTGATTTTTTTTCCCCCCATTCTGGAGGGGTGAGTGGGGTTTCATTTATCTGTGTGTTCCCCCTTGGTGGCTTAGGGGTTGGGTGACACTTTCTTGACCTTGCCAGGGTGGGGGCCCTGTAGTCAGGCCTAGCTCCGGCGGGGCTGAGGTGGCCAAGGGCTCAGGCGATGGCTGGACACATCGAGCTGTGGAGCTGGAGGACCTCACCCCAGATCTCCTAGCGGTGTGGACTGTGAGAGCGAGCCGGAGAAGATGCGCGGGGCGCGTGTGGCTGCGGGAAGAGCTTCTGCATTGTGTTGGGTACGCTGCGGCGCGGCAATGTTCGCAAGCCCCCTGGATGCACATTGCCTCTTTTCTCTCTTTCTTTTTGTCAGCGGTTCAGCGAGGAAGAATGCCTCCAACCCAGCCCAATCCAGGCCAGTACGCACTCACCAACGGGGACCCCCTCAACGGCCACTGCTACCTGTCCGGCTACATCTCGCTGCTGCTGCGCGCCGAGCCCTACCCCACGTCGCGCTACGGCAGCCAGTGCATGCAGCCCAACAACATTATGGGCATCGAGAACATCTGCGAGCTGGCGGCGCGCCTGCTCTTCAGCGCCGTCGAGTGGGCCCGCAACATCCCCTTCTTCCCGGATCTGCAGATCACCGACCAGGTGTCCCTGCTACGCCTCACCTGGAGCGAGCTGTTCGTGCTCAACGCGGCCCAGTGCTCTATGCCGCTGCACGTGGCGCCGCTGCTGGCCGCCGCCGGCCTGCACGCCTCGCCCATGTCCGCCGACCGCGTCGTGGCCTTCATGGACCACATCCGCATCTTCCAGGAGCAGGTGGAGAAGCTCAAGGCGCTGCACGTCGACTCGGCCGAGTACAGCTGCCTCAAAGCCATCGTGCTGTTCACGTCAGGTGAGGCTGCGGTCGCGGGGAGGGCAGGCCGCGCCGGCGGCGAGCGCAGGCCCAGCGCCGCCCGGGCCTGGCCTTCGGAGCCTCCCGCGCAGCCGGTGCGTGTCGGGTCGGGCCCTCGCTGTGCACTGAGCCTGGCCGGAATCTGTGACCCCCGCGCGGGGACCGGCCGGCCGCGCCGCTGCCATCTTGGGAGCGCGGCGGTGCGGGAACCGAGGCGGCGCGGGTGCGGCCGGCGGGCGGCCGGGCCTGGTCGCGCGGACCCCTACGTGGGGCCGCGGCTGCCGCGGGTGTGTGTCTGAGGCGGGGGGGGGGTTGCGGGGGGGCGGTGCTGTGTATCCGTCTGGCTGCGTGTGTGTGTGTGTGTGTGTGTGTATGTGTGTGTGTGTGGTGCGTGTTATGTGTGAGCCAGAGCTCAGTGTTTCTGGGGGAGGCGAGGGAAGGAAGAGAACGTGGGAATGTGGCTTCTTACCCTTTGTGGCACGCTCCTTGGATGAGTTTCCCGACACAGAGAGACACAGAGAGAGGTGGAAAGAGAAGAATACGCACAAATAAATCATAAATAATCCCGCTTTATCGCTGCCTGATTTTCCCTTATCGGAAACCATTCATGTTTGCAGTTGCTGAGGTTATTGAGGGTCGTAAAAAACGGATTCGATCTAAACAAGAAAGATAAAAAACAAAGGCAATACTGTAGAACCCGCGAGTATGGGAGGATTCCCCGCCTGGAGATGAATTCCAAAGCTATGCAAAACACATGAAGGTTGGAAATTTAACAGAGTGACTTTAAAAATATCAAATTATGTGTAGGCAGTGGTAACATGTATGTTAACAATTTCTCTTATGATAGATGGTTCAAATTAACTTCCAGGAAAGTGCATTAACGTTTCCTTTGAAGGGCTCTGGTCTGAGCCTCTGAGAACATTGCCGGCTTTTTATTATTATAACATGCAAGAGGGAAACATATAAACACCCAGGACAGCAGGTAATGGGGAGAAATAGAAACAAAGCCAGAGAGGACGCTGGTGGGAAGTAGTGCTGCTTACACTGGGTCTTGGGCCCTGACCACTGTGAGTAGGGTTAGCTGCAGTTTTACCACCATTATTGGCAGTATTGTTTTTAATTCCTCCATTCGGAGAACAAATAAACCATCCCAATAAATCTGTCCTAAAGCCAGGCTTTCCAATGGCCAAATTAAAACCATTCTTGAACAGAGATACCAAAATCCCTTTCCTAAGGCCTTGTTGAACAGTAAGCAATGGTATAATCTATCAATATTTCTTGGCTTTCATGCGTGAAGAATCGTATTTACATTGTATTAAAATGACTCTTAAATTTGCACAATATTGTAATGTAGCAAATGTAGTATTAATATCGATCTGAACAGCAGATAATTTATTTAGACAAGAGCATCTCATTTGTATGCAGGGTGGCCAGAGCCATGGACTTGGACTGCCCCCCTTTTACTTTCAGTGCAAATGCAGGTCTGCAAGTGAGAGAGGGAGTTATTCTTTCCAAGAGGATAAAGTGCAAACCTTAAAACAAATGGAAGATTTATGGAATAGTCTCCTGTGTTTGAATGCGTTTTATCTTAATAAGTCTTCTTGATGGAAACGTGTTTTTCAAAAGTGACAAAGAGCCTGGGAAGCAGCAACCAGGCTGCCTCAGCTCTGGCAGGCCTGGGGCCTGGCTGGCTGTCTACTACTGGGCTCTTTAGCCAAATTCATCAGGAAGCAAGCCAGTGTCAGGGAAGCTGGGGTTTGAAAATCTCATCCAGCGAGGTGTCTTGAAGCAGAAATGCGACTTGGAACTGGACAGACGTCTTCTCAGGAAAGGTCTCTCCTCTCTTTTCCTTATACCCCCTAAGGTTCTTTGAACCCCCTTGACTTTGCTAATCTCATGCCCTTTCCCAGAGAGAGGTGAAGACTGTGCAGGCTTCGGGCAAGCATTGTGGAATTATTCATGCTTTTCTTTTAACTTTCCATACTAAAACATTCCTGTGAAAAGTGTTCATTTAAAAAGTTTTCCAAAGAAGTTTCTTGAATCAAGTCTTCAAGGTGCAAAGAGTGCCTAGAAATGAACAATAACATTATTTTGTTGGAAAATTGCAAGTAGAATATCTGAAAATGGAAATAGAGCTGTCAGTAGTAATTCACCGCCCCCCCCCCCCCCCATGCAACACATTTCCACTTTTGACTAAACTTGTTTTGATTGCTAGCCAGAAGGGAATTCATGGGAAGCCTTCTCAAAGTCATCCAACTTTTAAGCAAACTTTGAATGATGGAAAAGACAGTTTTAGACATATTGTCCAATGTGGTTTGCTTTCGCTAAGTATTTGAAGCTGGCACAGGGGTCCCCCGTGGTGGTTTTCACATTTGGCCTCCGGATGGTATGTTTAATCCTTAATATTCTGGACTGCATCCAAGGACTAGGTCATGACCTGAACTTACTTTTTTAAAAATTCATTAATTCATACACCTAAATATTCCTTCAAAAAATGAGACTTTCTCTGAAAGGAACCATCTAGTTAACATAAATACAATAAATCCATTTTCAGCACAATAATAACTTTGATTTCTAGTTATGGCAGCTGATTACATCTATATTTCCTGAACACTAAACTCTTCTGAATGCACAACATGAAATACATTCTCTGTACTACAAAGGCTAAGCCAGGAGGGCCTGAGCAGTAATGGTTATTTATTTACATAATTTCTTTTCCTTACACTGTAGAAGAAATATCGAGAGTTCCCATACTGACACTACCGTATAAAAAGTGTGACATGGATTTTGTACATTATGCCTCATTTTCTTGTTTGGGGTATAACTCATGGAGCGTAAATATATACTGCATTACACCCCCTGGTCACTTAGCTTTGTCACCACAACCCCCTAGTTGATCTGGGAGCTCATACCTTCTGTCCACAGTTGGGGGAATCCTGTTGCAAAGGGTTGAATGAGTTTCCAGACTGGGAAGCCAGACCAGAACCAAGGTTCCTGCCGGAGGGAAGCCACAGAGCTAGCTGGCTGGTACCTGGTAGGCAGGCCCAGCTATAGGCATTCGCCTCCAAAGGAAGGAAGAAACGGAAGCAACCGGCACAGGACCCAGGCAGGCCTTTCCTGGGCTTGTCTTTCTTGGAGCGGCCTGTTTGGAAGTCGGGAAGTGACCTTGTACGCCAAGGGCCCTAATCATAAATGTCAGATAGATGTTTTACTGAGCTAAGGGGATGCCATATGGATCTTAAAAAAAAAAAAAAAGAAAGAAATCTGCTGGGGTACCAAGGGGTCCTTTTCACATTGCATTGTCTAGGACTGAGAATGATCCATAGCATACGGGCAGATAATGCATGTAAAGCAAGGTCTATGTAAATATGGGTCTGGGTCTGAGTGAGGGTCATTCATCGGGGCCAGGTTAGCAAGCAGGGCCAAACTCAGGGTCCCTTCCTTAAGCAGCAGAGCCCCACAGAGCTCTTACTGCCCTGGCCCTGATAGCCATAAAGTCTCATTTGGCTTCCCAAATCAGACCAGTGTGGATATACCCAACTGGCTAGCTGGAGTAATTAGACATCTGAGAGGAACCTAGTCTGTATCTGAGGTCAAAGGAGACTTGCTTCAGAAGTTCTTGAATTATCACTAGTTTTATTTGTATTTTTGCTCGAGGCCATAGCCTTGTAGATGAAGGTGTTAGAATGCTTTGTAAGTCCCAGTTCTTGAAATATAAGGACATAAAGCTCAGAAACTCAGCAGACACAGGTTTCGCTTTGAATCATTTGTTGTGTCTTCTTAGGGTCACACTTGCCCATTCACAATTATACAATGTCATTTTGGGGGCATTGCCATGCATGCATTTCTTTCCAGATCTATATATTAGCAAACTCTGCCTTTGATCTCTAGTCAACCTCCTGACTGGCTAAGGGCTCCTCTGTGATCTTCCCGGATTTTAAAATATTTATTATTAATATAAGAAACAAGTGGGTATTTGAACTAGGAGAGGATGCCTTTACTCCATTTCTCTTATTCCATCTTCCCCTCCCTATGCTTGCCTCTAGTTAGTTGATATAGTATAATCTGCTGCCCTGAAATACTTTTAGAGGACCAAGACCTTGGTTGACATGAACTAAGCACACAGATTTTGAGGTGCTGTCATTGTGTGGAGGTGCCTTTTTCTCCCTTGGTCCTGCCACCAAAAGCTTATCTCCCCCAAGTCTCCCCTCAACTCCCCACCACCCATGTCCCCCCCACCCCCCAGTTCTGAAGCAGCAGCAGCTGCTGCCTGTAGCCTAGCTTTGTGTCTGATCGCTGAAGATGTCGCCTTTCTGCAGCCTGGAGTAACTGAGTCATATTCTTCCTGATTATTATACAGCTTACAGAGATGTGACCAATTTTCAATTACTTGATCTTAGATATAGATAGAAGTGTACATCCTCACCAAGGATTTGCTGCAGAGTCCTTTCTTGCATAGATAGTGGATCTCAAATCATGTATTGCTAAAGCATTGGCTTCATCTGATTCCAGGCACTGCCAGCCCATGATTCCTTACCCCCTCCCATGTGTTTGTTCACTACACAATCTAGGTTCTCCTTGAGGTTTCTGGTTGGGGTTGTTTGGGTTTGAGAGGGGACTCCAGGAATCCTTTAAGAACTCCCTTCAGGCCGTATATTTCCTAAGGGGTACTGAACTCCCCCAAATTACAGGCAAAAGGGGTGAAAGTTAATGAGCATGGCCAGAAAGATGCTCCCTTGCACGCGGAGGACAGGTTGTTAAGCACAGCAAACATGGTTCCAGCATTGTACATTATTTAATCCAAAGGTGAAAGAGGAAAAACAAAGGGACTAGAGAGGTTCCTGCCTCTGCATGTGTGTGCCTGTCTCTCCAGCTCCCATAGGCTTGGTGGGGGTTTGATTTATTTTTATTTGTATTGTATTGGGGGCTGGGGAGAAGGGAATGAAGAAGGGGATGGAGAGGTATGGGAGGGTGAATTTTTCTTTTCTCTTTTACTTCTTTTTTATTTTCCCTTTTCTCCTTAAAGAAAAATAATGACTTATTTGTGCCTTTGCTATTTGTCAGCCTAACCGTGTGCTACCTTTCCCTGTCTCTCCCTCCTGTGGCTGCTCGGGCAGACGCCTGTGGCCTGTCGGATGCGGCCCACATCGAGAGCCTGCAGGAGAAGTCGCAGTGCGCACTGGAGGAGTACGTGAGGAGTCAGTACCCCAACCAGCCCAGCCGCTTCGGCAAACTGCTGCTGCGACTGCCCTCGCTGCGCACCGTGTCCTCCTCTGTCATCGAGCAGCTCTTCTTCGTCCGTTTGGTAGGTAAAACCCCCATCGAAACTCTCATCCGCGATATGTTACTGTCTGGGAGCAGCTTCAACTGGCCTTACATGTCCATCCAGTGCTCCTAGACCTTGGGCGCTTCCCACCTGCCCCCGTCCCCCTAGAGACTCAGTGGACCCACCTGGGCCAAGGACTCCAAAGCCGCGGGGACACCGGGAGGTGCAGCGGGCCAGGCAGGCCGGGCGGGAGGGAGGAGGGCCGAGACAAGAGCAGCCCACCCAGCAGAAATACAACCCGAGCTACAAAGCATGGGAAAAAGAGACTCTTTTAGGATCAGATCTGTGAGCACGTTGGCAAGGAAAAAAAAAAGAAAAAAGAAAAAGAAAAAAAAAGAACCTTGTGTCTGTCTGGTGAAAAAAAGAAAAAAAATTTGGAAGAGAGGACCATGAGAATTTTAATAAAACAGAAGGAAACTAATGGACCTTCCAGGATTTATTGTGGACGGATGTGGATATATTCTGTACAGAAACAACACATATGGAAGTGGACTGAAACCTATGTAGAAACACACACACACTGAACATTGTTATTCATTTTGTAAAATATTAGTCTTTATTTTCATTTTTTGTAAAATTTAAACATCGTATGCGCATAAAGAAAAAGGAAACAAGAATTAGGGGAAAATAACATTTTCCAAATAATTATAAAAAATTGTCCTGTGTCTATGTATCTATATCTGTTTTGTATTTTTTTCTGGTTCCAAACCAGATTTCCTGTGATTCTATACTAATAATTTTTGATATAACCCTTTGCTTCTTATAATGAGTGCGATATATGTTGTCGAGGCTGTTCTTCAAGAATTAAAATTGAAGTGAAAATTTAAACAAAAATAAAAGAATTTAGCAAAACCCATGTGTCTGGTTACTTGATGGATGTTATCCGTGCAAGAGAACTCCTTGTTAATTTCCACCTCAAACTATTATTAGAATTGAAGGTTTTGGTGTGTGAAAGGGGAGACTTTTAAAGTCTACTACAAAGTTGGTTAGATTCATTTCCTAAAACCAAGTTGCTACTTTGGTTTTGTAAATGCAGAGGGCCAGGCTCTACATGGGCTGGGGTCCGCGGAGAGGCAGGGCGCCTTGGTTGCTGACTTCAGTGGTTGAGACCTTATGGGCTGCGGGCGGTCCCGTGCTCAGCTGGGCCAGGGAGTGGGGCAGGCAGGGTCGCGCGCTGGTTGAGTCTCCAGGCACCAAGCACCGGGGGCGCAGCCTGCTTCAGTTTCTGGCGGCGGCAACCGGGGCTTTACTGCAGGTGGGAACTTGCTGAGCTGGAGAAGCTACAGAGGGACATGGAGAGCGGGACTTGGGGGTGGCGGGAGTGGGCCATTCAGACGCCACTGAGCCAGGCGCTAGTAGATCCCGCCTCTTTCCAGCTCTGGGAGAGAGTTGGGGCCTCAGCCCTGGGAGTCCTGGCTTTGCTCCCCGTTATGGTCCGCTGAAGAGGTGGCTGTGGTTTGCCCTTCACTCCAACCCTGTGACATGGGTTCCCAGAAGGGTCCTGGAACTCCAATGGGTGAAGGGAACCCCTGCCCCGCCCCGCTCGTGGCACTTAGGGGCGTGGACCCGGAACCTAGGAGTCAGAGGGCTGGAGCAGGTTCTTCACAGAAGAGGTATTTGGGCCCTAGTGGCCCTCTGAGGGCAGAAGCCTCCCGCTGAGGCCTATCGGTGGATGTGCTTGGGGGGCAGCTCTGTGTAACAGCTTTCGAAGCATGAATGTTTTATAGGATCAGAGCCGGCGCTGCGAGAACACATACTGCCAAGGGAGCTCTTTCTTAACGTATTAATAAAGCCAGATCTTTTAAAATAACACCTCTCACCCCTCCCCCTTCCCTCAGCCCCAGACAGGCCCGGATGAGGGAAGAGCTTCACTTTCAGAAGTCACTGGCAATGTTTTGCTTTCAGTGTGCTATCTGGAAGTCTCCACGTCCCGCCGGTACCCCCCGCCACCAAATGCATTAACAAGCTCCTACACTCCAACCCGCTTGTGGTTTTTAATATTCTGGGTGCAGCGCAGCATGGGCAGTGCCGCACTCTCTGTGGAGAAGCCACTGCAGGCCCACGATCCGCAGTCTGGCCCGCCTGGGGACCGGCCTGAGCTAGGGCGGCCAGGCGGGTAGGATATGGAGACACTAGGGCCCGTTTTATCCCTCCCCGGGCTGCATCCTCTGCACCACGCCCAGAAACAACGTCTTTGGGCCTGTGTTGACCTCCCTGCAGGTTGGACACCTAAGGCAGGAGGGGTTGGGGAGAGCCCACAGTTAATCCCCGACCGCTTCCCAAGAAGTATCAGCGAGCGCCACTGGCTGCGGGTTCCGGATTGGGGTGGGGTGGGCTGCAATCAGGGCTCTGAGGGGGAGGGGAGACGAGCTGCCTCGGAGAGCTCAGCGATCTTTCCTGCCTTTCCTGAAATGAGATGTAAATATATTCATTACAGTGTGATCCCTCTGATGAAAACAGATAAACATTTTCGTAGGTCGGAAACGTATTTTTCAATTAATCTCAATATGGAGGCCCAAGAGCAAGGCACCCAGTGTAGACTGGCCCGCCAGCTGCAGTAGCCCGAGATGTACTCGCGCTTGCTCCAGTGTCCAGAGGTGACAGTGGTTCACTTGGCTCTTGCTCCGCAGGGCTGGAACGTTGCCCATGACCTGGGGAATCCCAGCGACCTTTCTAAGGCGGGGCTCAAGCCTGGGGCTTATCTTCACAGCCTAGGAAGAAGTGCAGGCCCTCCTATGGCCGCCCAGCCTCCCTCCCGGACTCTTCTAGGAGCGGGAGGTCCCAGGGCTGAAGGGAAGGGGGAGGCGGGGGTTCTCCAGTGCTCCGCAGGACCTTCCTGCCCACCCCATCTCCCCGCAGTGGGTTTCTCCTCTGTCTCTTCTGTGACTGGGGTGGCCCCTGTCTGCATTACCCACAGAGAGTCAGTCGTCTTCCCAGGACCGAAGGTCTCTGTGTATCTCATCCAGAGAGAGACAGAGCCTCCCTGGAATCAGGGGTCATGTGGCCGTCCCCGCCGGCCGAACAGGTTGCAGGAGCCCTTGGCTTTCCTTCACAGGGAGGGCAGACAGGAATCTGCACGCGCTAAGGGGAAGTTTGGGAGCTGAGACGCGGCTATCTGTGCAACGAGTTGAGCCTTCTGATAATTGGAAAGTACCCTCTGCTCTCAGTTCCGGCGATGTGAAGGATCCCCTACCCCACCCGGGCTGGGCTGACAGTGGCGGGTCCTGCGGGCTGAGGGCGCTCGGAGCGGTCCGGGGTTTCCTCTCAGTGCGGAGGGACAGGCCCCAGGAGGGGCCAGGCTGTCCCGGGTTCAGCGTCCTGTGTCTCCCCAGTCCCCAGTTGCCGCTATGGCCCAAGACCTGGGCAGGAGGCGAGGTGTAGTTGAGAGCCTCCCCTGCCTGGGTGGCCTCCAGAAGGTTCCTGAGCAGTGAGCCCACCTTCATGTGGGACGCCAGGGGGAGCCGTGGAACCGGGGCTCCCAGCAGGTGTAGGCCAGGCAGTCGTTCTGGGCTCTCAGCCACACCTCGCCTGCAGGGGCGGTGGCGGCCCTGAAGAGTCAGGGGAGTAGGACTGGGCTAACTGGGCAGGGTAGAGCCGACTCGTTCCCCAGGGCAAGAGGAAATTCTTCTTAACAGTTGGAGGGCAGCCCACATAAGGTGACTTCCCTCTCGAAATCACCAGTGACTTAGGAAAGTCACACGTTCGCTGTTCTAATCTAAAGGCTTGCTGGACAACTGAGAACTTTAGGAGCTTTGAAATCTGTTTAAACTACCTTAGCCATAAGCTTTGTGGAAAACATCAGGCCATCTCAGGAAGTGCTCTTCTCTGGGAATTGATAGGGAAGGAGTCTGCACTTTATCCGCAGCTAGGGGACAAGGCCTGGTGCTAGGGAGGAAAAGTATGACATTTGTCCCCACACGCACATCCCAACCTGGGACCAGGCTGAGTGGAAGCCTATGGTGGGAATGTGGGTCCCTCCTGCCCACCAGGAGAACCATGAGCTTTTGGGACTCCACCCTTCCAGTTCGTCCAGGCTCTTGGCCTCTGGCAGCCACACAGGGTCTTGGTTGGCTCCCAAGAGGTCCAACCACCCAGCTTTGCATTCAGGGGTGATGGGGATCTGCAGTGCCCTCTATCTGAGCCCACCTGAGCTTGTCTGCTTGAAGCATGTAGGGGGATGGGGAGATTTTATTTTTAAAAATCTTTCTCCTCTTCTTTCACTCCTAGGCACTCCTTATAAATCCTCCTGTGAGCTCTGCAATTCCTCACAACAAATCACCTGAATGTCTCTGCAAATAGCAGACCATGAGGAGTGTGAGGAGTAGTGGAGGGGGACACAAGTGGGAACTAATAAAACTCTTGTTAAAGGGCCTGCTCAGGGTCCCTGGCGTCACTGGGCCTTTTACTTGGGAAGCCAAAGAGTTGTATTCCTAAATGAGTTAAAGACCCATTTACCTCTGTCGTGTCCTATTCATCAAGCCACAAGTTGAGAGTTCTAACATGAAACTATTTGTTTGCTTACACAACCAGCTGGGCGCAATTTCACGTCTGAGATATCTATCTGAAAGCGCCTCTCATTTATTATCTCTCCTTGTCAGCGAATCCATTTTCCAGCTCCCCCTCCCCCACTTTGCAGTTTATTTATTTATTTATAGTGGGACTTCTTTGCCTGGGAGGACCTGGGGTTGGAATGCTCCCCAGGGAGTAGCCTCTCCCTGCGCGGGATCTACTACGCCCAGGGTGTGGGGACGAGGGACTGGCAGAGGCACACCCGTGGTCACAGCTGACCCCGGCTGGCAGGCGAGCCAGGGTGTGGGGTGGGTGGTGAGTGGTCCTGGCTAGACACTGCGGAGCTGCCTTTCTCCCTGGATGTCCTCTCTACTATCTCTCCCTGTGTAAGCCTCAACCACCTGTACGAGGAGGGGGTGATGGGGAGGCCCGGGAGGCGAATCCAGGAGCCTTTCTCCGAGAATGGGGGCCCGAGATACGGATTTGAGAGATGCTTTCACAAAGCCTCACCAAGTCCCATGGGGCCAATTTCTTCTCGGGGGCCGGAGCGCGCGGAGTGAGTAACCAAGATGTACACAGTTGCGTGATGGGCTGGGGGGAGGGGGCAGCGCATTTATTGTGTATGCGGAGGGGAGAAAGTTGCACGTGGTTTCAATTTTGAAGCACAAAGAAATAACATGCAATGCAGAAAATAGGTTTATGAATGTAATTGAGAGGAAAGAAAACAATTAACACAGTGGAAGGTTGCACACTCCATTCCCCACCCCTCGCCTTCTCTTCTACCCCAATTTTGAGAAATTCGGATCATGTGAATAGAGTGGCTTTAGGCATTTGGATCCGGCTGACAAGGGAACCCCTGATGGGGATCTCAGTGATGGCTGGATAATGGTGTCTATCCATCTCCTGGTCTGCGAAGGCCTCCTCTAACCAAGCTGAAAGCAAAGGATCAAATCCCCAAGTCCAGCATATAAAATATCCCCAGCTGAAAAGAAGGAAGGAAGAAGGGGTGCCTGCAGGGGAGAGGAAAAAGAGAAAGAGATAGCGAGGGATTTCTTTAAGAAAGACCAGGCTGGTCTCTGCAAGCTATCCTATTGTGTTGATTTAGGAAGACATTTGCTGTATATAACGTTTAAGGCTGATAATATCATTGCGCAGACAGATAAATAAAGCGTTGGCCCAACAGTGGGGTCAGCGATCGATCTCTGGGCTCAGAGGAAAGAGGAGAGAGACAGGGTCGTGCACGAGGCTCTGTCTGTGTGCTTGTCAGTCGGCATGCAGGAGCCCGAGTGTGTGTGAGCGTCAGGGTGTGCGAGAGAGAGAACCAAGTCTTCAGCTGGCCAAGAGGCTCATTAGCATTCCTAACCCATGGACCTGCGCTGACAACTAACAGAGATATCCCGCTCACCACCAGGCCTCCTCTCCTTTTGTCTTCAGATCTGGAGGAGAAAAAGATTTCTCGGTGGAAGCTGGAGTCTGAACTTCCATGTGGTTGTTGGAGATTCAGTGCCTAAAAAAAGACATACCAGGATCTTGCCTGATCTTTCACTCTTCTTTTAAAAACTTTCCTCTTAAAGGGGGAACTTTTTTGCTTTTCTTTGTCAAAGTATAATATACTTGTTGAAACTTCAAGCTTAAATGGGAGAGAAAAATTCTCTGAGAATATTTTGCCATTTTTCCTTGTTGACACGAAGAGAGGTGGATGTTTACATATTTGATTCACATGCACATGTAAAGCTGGTACTTTCAGTTAAAGCTTTCTAGAACCTAGCAATCAGGGGTTGTTTGAGCTCCCCCCCTTCTTTCTCTTGGTCATGTTTTGTTATGAGGTAAAATTCATTTTGTTTTCTGTAATAAGGATCTTGCTTATAATTTTATTGCTCTCCATTGTTTTTTAAATGAAATACATCTTAAAATTACATAGATCTAATTTTGTATTAACTATCAGAAAAATGCAATTTTAGAAACTTCTATTATTGTAAGAAGCATTTAAAAATTATGCTCAAACATGCAGTTTTAATGACCTTACACCTATTTGGGGGAAAAGTGTCTTTTAGCCATATCTCACAGGGATAAATATGTATCCACTTTGCTCTCCCAGATCCTGTTCCTTGAACTCCATCAAACTAGTCAGATAGTTTTACATCGGAGTGTACAAATTATCCCATGTTGACAGATGTTTGTCACTTAGTAACTTCTTTCCAAGTTTTTCCCCCTCCCCTAAGCTTTCTTTCCAGCTTGCTTTGTTGTTTTAAAATATGCATGTCTCTCACTGGAATGCCAGTCACGAGTGCAAACTTTGTGTCCAACCTCCCACATGAAATGATCCTTTTAAAGGGAACTCGATATGTCTCAATCTGCACTTCACTCAAAGCCTCTGGGTACGGGCCACTCACTCACTGGTCCTGGCTCCAAAATAACTCAGCAGAAACGAGTTTCCAACTAAAAATCCCCTCGAATGTCTCCCAGGGAAGAAATATAGCTCCTATAATTAAAGGAGGCAACGACCAGAGGGGAAATGCAGCCGGCAGCCAAAAAAGAAAAGTAAGAGTTTTATTTATTTGCTGATTGAACTTGGGTTGTCACGACCAGCAGGTTTATCCACATTAGAAGTGCTGGAGGTTTGTGCTATATGTGCACAGGAGGGAGAGGTGGGGAGAAAAGGCAGGAGAAGGAAAGTAGGAAGAATAAGAGAACAGGCCAATTTTCAGAGAGAGAAAATGATCTCTGTGGGACAACGTAAATAAACTTCCTGGCACTGGATTGGACTAAAATCTCGTAGCTGAGGAATATGTGGAGGGGGGTTCAGAGGAGATGGGGGGTAATTACAGTAAACTCTTAGATGTGGGGTATCATCAGGAAAAGGAGGACTCTGTTTTCCCCAGAAAAGTAATGTGACAGCAGGAAATTTATTAGCTGTGCTGTGTGTGGCGGTTAGGTATGTGGGGGGTGGAATTATGGAGGGAGGCTTCAGAGAAAGGAAGAAGTTCCAGGACTCAAAGCAGAAGTGTCATGGAACCAGGATCCCTCCACACTCCTTGACAAAAGTTGCCTAGGAGGTGTAGATGTGAAATATTCTCTAGAAGACATTATCTTTGCACCTTATTTTAATTAGTTTCATCTATTTGAGCTGATTCTGGCATTAGAACCACTTATAAAATGAATCAGCTCACAGGATCAAGAACACCTCCCCACTTCTTGGGCCATAGGGGTAGTAGTAGTTATAAGCTTCAAAACACAAGGAGTACTCAGGCTGGGCAGCCTATTTCTATTAAAGAGGCAAAACTTTAGTACTGATGAAAAACAGATGATTTTTTCTTCCTCTCTGAAACAGTTACTCTCTTTTACTGATGTGAAGTGACGTCAGCAATGCCTGCCCTATCCCCTTGGAGAGAAGGGAGAGAGGAGGAGGAGATGGAAGGAAGGAGCTGGGAGAAAGAGCAAGAGAAAAAGAGAAAGAGGAATTGAGATAAGAGGAAAAAGGTGGTGGGGGGAGAGAATGAGAATGAATATCCTACACTTTTGGGGGGCCAAACATCCACAAAGCGTGGGCAAAACAATGCTTTAGAAGCCTGTGATTGATAAGACACCTTTCCCTGCTCTCACCCGATCTACATATTCTAACATATGGAAAGCTTACAGGCCCTGTGCACTTATAGAAGCCGATAATGCATTAGCTCTCAGCAATATTTACAGCACCACTCTTAATACACACCAGATGGTTCGCGACTGTGCCGCCTCAGCCAGCTCACTCCTCGATTTTACTCGGCGGCACTTTGTTGCAATTACGCTCCATGCTGAGACCAATTTTATTGGTGACCTATTTTTCATATTTGCAGCATTTTATGTTAAAAACCTCCTCTCTGGCCTTTTTGTAAAGGGCAGCTCTCAGGAAGGGAGAGCTTAGGAGGACAGCGGTGCTGTGGGTCTGTCGAGGTGGATATTAGTATTTATCGTGATGTTACATACCTCGGGTTTAAGTGAGTAAACCAGATAGGCATAAGTACTCCGGTCATTATGTTTGTTCACTCACCCCTGTTTGTCAGACCCCCACGGACTCTACACGGCGGCTTGCCTCAGAGTCAATACATCGGACCATAAATATTGTATTCCATTAATTATCACCCCACTGGCTTTTCCTGGGCGCCGGCGTCCTCGAGCGACGCAGGGCAAATGAGGACGCTTCCTGAGCATATTTCTAGGCTGGGAACCCCGCTGAAATTTCCGCGGTGCTTGGGAATTCCTAGAGCCTGAGCGCCTGATTCAACCGCGGCTGGGCCTGGGGCTGGCGTGGAGGGAAGGCGAGCCGGCGGTAGAAGGCCCGACGCCGCCAGGAGCACTCGGTACCTGTTATCTTGCTACGCAGAAGGCCACTGGGAGAATCCCATTTGGCACGCCCGAAAAGGCTTTCAACTTTATCTCCCGCCATGTAAATATCCCCGAGTGCCTGACTGAGGGACTTTGTTTTGCACCGAACAATATAAATATCCTATTTGCTACAACGCAGGTGTGCTCTTCCTACCCAAACTCTCCCCACTACCCCCGTGCCTCTTTTCTAGTAACTTTCTACCCGCCTCCCCTGGTTAAAAAAAAAAAAAAAAAAAATCACAGATGTTTACTTTATTGATATAACCTATACCGTGGTTAGGCTGAGAATAATATGCCTCAACTAACAGTCATTTAGCAAATAATAGAGGCGTTCTGGATGCTTTCCAACGTTACACATGTACTTGGTCATAAAATGATACGTGAAAAAATTAACATCTGCTTTCCTAAAATAAAGTGTGCCAAGTAGCTTTTTATGAATGCTTTCCTCATTTTAAAAAGAAATATGGAGAGATAAACTGGCACCCAGATGTATAGCATATTTATAATGGTTTTAGAATTTAAAGGTAGCTATTCATTGCACAAGCCATTTAAAAACTGACGTTTTAAAAGCTACTTAACCCCAGACATCTTCGAATCCTGAGGAGTCTTCCAAATTTTATTATTTAAAGAGGAATTTACTGTAATTTAATTGCGTATCAAGGCAGAACTGTGTGCAAGTCAGGGCACTGCAGCCTCAGCTCGACAGAAATTCCAACTCGCCTTTTATTTACCTAATTTCTCAGCAAGGTTCCCAGGCCCTTAAGAAGGCCGAGCTGGAAAGTTTAGTTGGGCTCTTTTTTGTTGTTGTTTAATTCCACTATTAGGAAATGAGGCCTACCTTTGAATTATTTCATTAGGATTTGGCCTTTTGGGGGAAGGGGTGGGAACCATAATCATTAGTGGCTTTTTATTATTTCTACAATAAATGGCTAGATTCTTTGTTGAATAAGCTGCTTGAATGTTTTGCAGATGTTCCACTTAGACCAAATCTGACCCCCTATTTCCTCCCAAATAAGTCGCTTAAACTCTCCCACCAGTCCATTTACTGGAGAACATCCTCCCTCACCCTAGCAAGTTGATAAGCCTAGGACATATTCTTATGAAATTTCCACCTAACTGCACATGCACGCACACACACCACACACACATTTACACACACACTCCCACCCACTGAGCCTCTGAGCGTGGCAGAGGATAAGAGAAGAGGGGAAAAAAAAAAAGGCGAGGAACTGGTGAGGCGGAATGCAAAGCAGGAGGGAAGTCAGCCCAGTGGTTACACCCCTGTGCAGAGGCGCGCCCTCCACTGGCCCCCTCGCCCCACTTTGTGCCTTTGGTTTGAACCACTGGAGGTGGCCCAGGGCCGTTTTCCCTAGAGGACTGAGAATCTTGATTTGCCAAGTGCTTGGGGCCTCCGCCCAAGGTGTTTGGGGGCTGTGTGGTGAGCCCAGGCAAAGCCAGGGTACTGCGATCGTCTTCCGGGCGCATACCCTGCGGCACCGCCCCAGCCGCGGCGGCCGCGCGTGGGGACCCAGGGGCTTAACAAAGGGCTCCGCAGGGGCTCGGGGGCGCGGCCACGTGACGGGCCAGAGCACGGCGTTGTGGTCCCGCCGCGGGGAGGGGCGGCCAGCCCGAGGGGCCCTGGGGCTTCTTGACATAAAAACAACGTCCGGGCCTCGGGCTGGCCGCGCCGGGCCGCGCTCCGCCGGGAGGAGAAGTACTTGTCTGGCTCCGCGCTGGAGAAGCCTCACCTCTCATCTCTCCGGCTCTTACTTGGAAAAGCACTTGGAAGAAACTGTGTGTGCGCTGGGAGGGCCGCGGGGTGGGCCGGGCTGGGCTGCGAGGCTGAGGGGGGCCGGCTGATGGGTGGATGGGGAGGAGGTTGAAGAAACAGCCCCTTTCTGAGTGACAGGACCCCTTTTCAAAGGGCAAACAGAAAAAAAAAAAAAAAAAAAAAAAAACACAGAATAAGAAGAAGTAGCTCCTAATATGAATAGGAGATTTTTCAATGTTTCGCAGTTACTCCCCCTCCCCCCGTTTAAAGAGGGATATTTTTTCCTTTCCCTTTTTCCTATTTTTCTTTCTTTCCTTTCTGTCCTTACACTCCCTTCCTTCCTTTCTTTCCTTCCTTCTCTCCCTCCCTTCTCTCCCTCCCCTCCCTCCCTCCCTCCCTCCCTCCCTCCCTCCCTTCCTTCCTTCCTTCCTTCCTTCCTTCCTTCCTTCCTTCTTCCTTCTCCTTGCCTTCCTTCCTTCCTTCCTTTCTCTCATTAGATTGGAATTGCGTGCGCAATCGTGTTTTTATGTGTTTTCAGGAGAAAGAATGATCCATTAACTTTGAAAAATCTTCTTGGGTTGTTCAGAATTATTGAAACATGTTACGGTGTTTTCGAGGACTCACTGACCAGAGTGGAAAGGCAACAGACGAGTCACGCTTTCAGACAGGGGATTTTTAAGATGCTGTGTTTGTAGGGGCGAAAAAAAGGGAATATCTTACGAAGTTCTCCCTCATTCCAATAACAAAACCTGTCACATCTTCACTTCTTACTAGAAAAGATAGTGTCCTCATTTCCTCATGTGAACAACTCTGAAGTGATTACTGAATGTCTCTGTGAGAAATCAGGATGGGAGAGGAAAGCTCATCACGTACAGAGATTATTTTTAAGCCTGCCTTCATGTAATTTAACCTTAGAAACACTTTTATTATCCTCATTCTCAACCCCAGTTTTTTTTTTTTTTTTTTAATTGGAGGGCCATGCCTTATACAGGAGAAAACCTTCTTTTAAAAAAGATTTAAATCCACAGTACCAGTTGTTTGTTGTTGTTGTTATCATGATTATGATGGTTATTATGTCGTCCTCTCCTTTTTGCACTGGATCTGATGAGAGAACTTTTTTAAGAGTGTGAAATGAAGGACACAAAGACATATATCAATGAAAAGAAGAAAGTGGCCCTTTTAATGAGAACTAAAGAAAACCCAAATGTAGATGAAGTGTACCGTAAAAGCTGCTTCAAAGTCCATCTTAATTCCCTTGGGCTCAGTCATCACGAACGTGTGATAATTGGGAGTTCTGCACGGAGGTAAGGCTGCCATGGGGTGGGGAGTCTCGCAGATGTACCTCCCTGCCCTGTAATTCCAAATACATTTCAACCAATAACTTGGAGATATTACAGAACCCAGA